ACTATACTAAAGAGTCTTATATAGATATAGTATTTTCGGGAGTTCGAATTTATTAAAGTTTCTTTAATAAATAAAATCCTTAAAATTATATCTAAATAGCTTCTAAAAGTTATTATTAACTATTTTATAAAAAATATATTAAAATAGCTTAGTATTTAAGAATTTAGTTATCTTATCTGCTTTAGTAAAGTTCAGATTAATCCTATATCTTTACTTTCTTACTAATTCCTTGAAATTATTATTATTTATAAAGTAATTAGATTAGATAGATCTAATAAAGGAATTATTTATTATAGTATATTTCGCTATTATATATTTTATAGGCTTATATCTAGTTTAAGGTATAGTAATTTGTAAGAAGGATAGGTTTATAAAAAGAAGAGTAGTTTATAAAATAGATAGTTTATAGTAGGTATTATATTTGAGGTAAAAATTTCGTTTATAATAAGAAATTTAGGAAGTGAAATTTAAGAAATAAAATATCGAGATTCCGGGAGAACTTAATAATTCTAAAGCTTAAGAGCCCTAGGGGTTTAAAAGAAAGTGGTTTTTGAGAGGGTTTTATAGGAGTTAAATAGGAATAAAATAGGATAGTTAAATAGCTAACCGTTTTAGTATTTAATAAGATTAAGTACCCTTCCTACCTATATAACCGAATTATAGATAATAGAACTAATAAATATTCCCCCCTTTAATATAGTATAATCGGGCCTTAGTAAGATCAAGTATCTTTCCTGCTTATATAACCGAATTATAGGTAATAGGATTAATAGTTATTCCCTCTTTAACTGGAATAATAGCTTTGCCCCTAAATAACCGAATCTTAGGCAAGCGTAGCTTAATCCTTCCTGATCTATAAGTACTAAATAGGTCTTATTCTGATCTGAATATAAACTAATTAGTATTAGTTTACTAGTAATATATAGTACTATTATATAGGCATAGAAGTACTATTTATATAAGGTTAGTAAAGTTGTTCTTTAGAAATAGGGATCGCAGTATTGTGATATTAATATGCGATCCCTAAATCTGCTAAGCCTAAAGGGGTCTAGTCTACTGGTCGAGTTACTAATGGGACGCGAGGTCACATGACTATGTCCCGTATCCTATGTCCCATTGCCCATGTCCCATTGCCTATGTCCCGTGTCCCGTGTCCCGTGACTACGCACGTGACTCCCAGAGGAATAGCTATACCAATAATATATTATTAATCAGATTTAAATTCGGAGAAGAAAGCAGCCAATTAACTAAATATATAAAGCATTCGACTTATACTTTATTATAAAGACCTTAATTCTTCTTTATATTCTTCTTTTTATAAATTCTATTCTTGTCTTTAATTATAAAGTAGTTCTTATTAATATAAACGGCCCTTAAACTCTACTTTTTATTATATTTATATAAATCTCTCTTAAAAACCCTTATAAGATTTATATTTTATACTTAGACTAAGGCTATATTATCCTTCCTGGCATCCACACATGCATTTCAACTACTCAGAATTAACGCCAATTCCGAGACCGCTCTACCCTTCTACTAGCGCAGCTTGCCGTCGAAATAAGGCTGCCTCGTATTGCCTGCGTGGCTCTCTTGCTAAACCTATCTATGAGTCTTCCCTTGACCCAGGCTTGCCGCTACATGAATCCCACAATAGCCAACAGTTGTACCAGTAACTGTAAACCTTTCCGTCAAAGCAACACTGCCCCCTCGATCAGGGTTGTACGTGTGTGGAATTTCGGAGAAGTCATCTCGAGGACCATTGTACGAGTCTGGGTCCGACTTATAAAGGCGGTGGCGATTCCTTGCGCGGTCGACGGGTTCAGGTATTTGCCCTAATGGGGTGGCTGTGGAAGACATGTTATATTACAGTAGTAGATTGTTTTTCTTGCAGTGGGCCGCGAATAGCAGGGTTGATCCAGTAGATGATCAGAGCCTGTACTAAACAGGCTTTCCTCTCAATCTCCTCGAACATTCCAAGACCAATCTGTATCCTGCGATTCTGGCTGCTTGATCTGTTGCGGTTGGGGCGTGTCCTGCTTGACCTCCGTACTCGCACTCGTGCCTTCGGCTGTGCCTTGAGCGAAGGCTTTAAATGAATCTGAGAAGTAGTGAACTTTCTCAAAAGCCCCTAGTCAACCTTAAATATAAAAAGCAGCAAATGCAAAGAGAGTCGAGAAGGATCTCCTCGTCGAGCAAGCACCTACTCCCCACACTTGATGGGTTGTCCCCCCTCTCAATTATGTCCTTCTTCTTTATACTGAAGAGCTACTCGACACGTTCAATTTCGTCTCTTTATAAAGCCACAACATGGGAAGGTTAACTCTTAGGTATTGATACACCCCCCTTATCTCCTTCGTTCTCTACATCAGAGTTTATGGTATACTACCACCCCGTTTCAGAATTGGTGGCATTCCTCGACTTCTCCTACATTAAGCTATGCAAACCTGTGACGTGTTACGAGTGTTTATGCTTAAATTTGGAAGATGTGTTTGTTCAGTGCAACAAGGAGTAGAAGAAGATAGCGGAGAAGTGTGATAAACATGTAGGAATAGTAACAACAAGTATATCAATAACAACACTCTCCATACCCTATAAAGTTTGAACACGAACTTGTGCCAATCTCTAAACCAACATCTGTCCAACTTGAAGTAGAAATAAATATTCAATGCTTGAACCAGCCATCCGAGAATATCCCCACACCCCACCTGTTGATTACCAGCGACTGCGACCATACTCCAGTAACAAGCATTCGAGTTGAAGTTTGTCTGTATGAAATATCCTCTTGCCCTGACTAACGGAGCTTATTTTGTACCCGACAGACATTCATCGTACCCTCAGATCATCAGGAGCCAAAGGAAGGAGCTAGCGCTAAGGGATATGGGCAATATATTCCTCGTCAGCATCTCGCATTCTCACTCCAACGAGGAGCTTCCATAAGAGATCCCTGAAAACCGGTAGTGTGGCGTTCGTATGAATTCTTCTCTATATTGTGTATTGGAAAAGAGGTTAGATTCCATCATAAATAGAGCTTGTAGGTTTACTTGACGCGAGAAGAGAATTTGAAGAGATGGAGGAGTTGAGATAAGATGAAAAGTTGAAAATAAAGCAAGATCTTGATAATAACAAAGCAAATGCAGAAGAACAGAAGTTCTTCCACAAGAAGAACACGCCGATTCCCCGTAAACCAGCAAGATTTCGGAAAACTGGAAAGTAGCAAAGTCACTCAGCGCTGCACGAATAAAAACTTCCTCTCTTGATGAGAAACTAGCACCCCCGCACACTCCCTGTGAGTGAGGCACATTTGAAAGCTCGAACTTTGCTGCTTGGCAACTCTTCACTAAAGTCCTTCTTATATACCCACCCTTCAAACACTCCCGACCCTTCCATATTCCAAGATCATCCAACTCGCAGCCAGTCTTCCTTCCCATTTCCCAACTCAGCCTGCCTAGAGTTTAGGCGAGGCTAAGCTTGGCCAGCTACCGGGCTAGGAGTAGGAAGGCTAGCGTCTTGAAACCTTAGGAGAGGCTTTAGAGGAGCCGGCTATTATCTTGGCCAGGTGTAGAAAGCCAGCAAGGCTCGCTACTTTAAGAAAAAAATTCTCTCGGGGCCTCCGCCCCCAAGACGCTGCCCCACTCTGATTTCCACATGTCTCACACCTACGTAATACATACCCCTATTAAAAGCCCTCTCCCGACCCTATCCTGACTCGAATTGAGGCTGGGCAGATTAGAGCCCGAGTCAAGCTTAGGAGGGAGACGAGAAAGTGGGGCTGAAAAATCTCGGGATCTCGCGGCCCAGCACGTTGGAATATCCGCATCCTCCTTTCTTTGAGAGATACGCAAACCTCCACCTTCTCACAGTGGGCTGCGCCGCTAGTATAACACAAACTATCAAAGAGGGAACCAGCGGTTGATTCGAATGATAACTAACGGGTCCTCTTCTCCGTACCTCGAGACCACTTACCAACCACCCTTTCCCTTCGAGCGGCGGAAGAAAAACCATTTCTTGAATTTCGCTTAGAGCTTATCATCTTATGTATTGCATTAATATGTGCCGGAGTTTAGAAAGTGAAATATACCAAAGATCTGGCAATGAAACATGGCTACTTGATGATAACAAGAGTAAAGACAAGAGAAATCAAATTCTCTCTCTTTGAACAAGGAGGGGGGGATATTGATAGCAGAGAACTCTGCGGTGAGGAGAAGGACTTCCACGGGGATATCTACACGGAATCATTTCACCTCCTACTCTCGCAACTACACGAGAACAAAAATGAAAGAGAAAGAGCAGCAGCAGTATCGCGCACTCGAGCGTGGCCGACCACTTGCCGACCCGGATTGGTGCACCGCACGGAGAAGGTTTCCGCTGTAGCGCACACGGTTTTGGCACGAACAGGGCGTTTAAACTTTACACTCTTTGCATTGCAAGGAGCCCCCACCTATTGATACCTCTGCACACCATCACCTCGCAAGCCAAGTTAAGAAAGATAAGGAAGTGGATGTGCGAAATATCTCTGTATTAACCTCCTCAATTCCCAAAAAAGATTAGTTTGTTGTCGTCTTTGGTATCATAATCTGGTCTATATACAAATCCTCCACAATTCTACCCGAAAGGAACCAGATGAAAAAAACAACATATTTTCGCAAATGATCATAGGTATTAAGGACTAGACGGCCGTGGCCCAATATTTAGCTTCAGATCCCATGTATTTCCCTCAAACACCCAAGAAAAAAAACACGGAGCAAGAAAAACTCTTGCCTCTCGTTGAGGCTATGTAATGCGATGTAAATGACGCAAAAAACAAAACAAAAAAACAAACCGATGAAATGCTGGGAAAACGCTGGAAACGCCTGAATGCTGGACGATTGACATCGCTTTGGAAATGAAAGGGTCGAGACCGTCGCTACGGGCATTGTGGATGCCCACGAATGAAGAAAATGCTGATAGATATGCCGCTCATTCGTTTCGTTTCCATTTCCTGGCAATTTCCTCCCGCTCTTTCAACCCTGAACCCTCACATTCCCCATGATATTATTCCGCATCGCGTACCGATCCAGCACAAGCTGCTCCTGCTGCTCCTGGTGGGCTTGGGCATAGTATTCGTCCTCCTGCTGTTGCTGCGAGAGAGGCGATGCCGGGTACGTGTGAGCCGTCCCGTAAGTGTGGATGTACTCCTGCGCATGCAACGGCATCGGCCCACTAATCCTCTCCTTCTTCAACTTCTTCTCCTTATCCCCGCCAAAAATGTGGACGTACGCATCCCACCTCGATTTCCGATGCTCCTTCCCTCTGTCCTGCTCCAAGCGCTTGAGTTCCTCCTGCCGCGCACGCTCCCGCTCCCTCAGCGCTCTCTGCTCCGACTTCGAAGGCTGTACACTCCTCGGCCTCCGCTTCGCCAGCTCTTCTATCTGCAGATCGCGCAGCGTAAGCGTCTCCTCGCTCTTCCTCCCCTTCACCTTCCGTCGAATGATTTCTCTCTGGCCGCCCATATCGCCAGCGCCGCTTAGATACGCATCGAAAACAACTTTCGGGACCTCTGGTATCTGGCTCTCCGCAATGCTCCCCGCACCAATGTTTTCCTTCGAGGTCGAGCGACGAGCTTGCAGTGGCAAAGTAGGTGATTGAAGAGTGAGACGAGGCATCTCGTCCCGCTCGCTCACTGCATCGAGACCAGGACCGCTAGATCGCGGTCTAATCTGCAAGTGCAAGCTCTCCTTGCTCTTTCTCAGCTTCTTCTTCATGCCAAGATCGTTGTAGGTAGTGCGAGGGATCTCGTCCCGATCTCTCACACTAATCACCATGCTATCGCGACTCTTGCCCCACCCTTTCGAAGAAGATGGCCGCGAGTTCGGGGCCGACTCGGTTGGGAGAGGAAGGCCAACGGTCGACGAGCGTTTCTTCTCGTGACGCTTTTTGAAGTCGTCGATGTCTACAATTTCATAGGTGTCTGGCCGGCGAGCGGTCTCGAAGGAGACGGTGGTCGTCGACATGAGTGAGGCCGTGCTCTTTCTTCTGTTGGTCCATGCCAAGGCATCTTGTTGCTGGGATAGAGGGGATGACCGTATGGATGGAGAAGGGATAGGCGGCGGTGGTGGAAGGCGAGCGGGCTGGGATTGCGGTGGAGGGACTGGCTTGCGGGTTACGGATTGGACGCGGTTGGGCATTGAGATTGGCGGTGGGGATTTGGACGATTTTCGCTTTTCGACCCCATCTGGGTTTAGGAGAGATGGCTGAGCAGGGAGATTCGTGTATGAGCGACGCATTGCACCGTTCTGCACCAGAGAAGAGACGTCCCTCAAATTGGTGCGCGAGCTGTTTGCTGTTGAAGTTCCGGAGCCAGAGTTTGCAATTGAATCGTAGGATTTCCTTGGTCTGATGACAGTTGAAGCCTCAGGTGCAGTGGAAACCTTTCGTTGTTTGGACACGGCGAAACGTGCAGCGGCGTCGGCTTCGAATTGTGCGGTCATGGACTTTGCGCGCTGGTCTACAATACTTGGTCGGGCGCCGTCGTCGGCATCGCGGCTAAGAGGAGAGGTCACGGTTTCCAATGAACTGACATGGGATTCGAAGTCCTCGACCTGGCGAGGAACTCGTCCTGGAGGAATATTTTGGAGGGATTTTCTGGCCCAATTTGCCAATTGGCTTGGGGACGGACCTCGTCCTCGGGGCACGGGCTGGACTGACTCTCCTTGCTGCTCAGTTTTGGGCGGAGATCGAGCTGGTCCTTGATAGGTGTTTCGCCTGTTCTTATCGGGCCTGGATTGCTGGCCTGGCTCCTGCATAATCGTTGGCATGGGAGGAACGGGTGGTCGTGCAAAATTTGTTTCGTCGCTGGTTTCTACGCTGCCGACCGAGAAAATCGTGCCCATTGACATGCGCCTCGACACAAAATTACCCTCAATCGTATTCGGGAAGGACTGCACCGGGAATGCCTCCTCACGTTCTTCGAGTCTACGACGAGCTTCCACGGTGGGGGGTGGGATTTTGTATGCCTCGCTCGGAGACCGGATTGCTTGGACCGTGAAAACTTGTCCCGTCTCAACACGGTGTTGCGACTCGCGCTTGGTTAGCTTTTGACGCCAGCGCGAAGACGACCCAGGTGATGCGGATGCGTCAGAAGTTGCGGGGCTTTCTTCTCGTACAGAAGTACCTGGAACTGGTGGTGTGATTTCTTGGGGTCTATTTTCGGAGCGGGTTGCGGCAGCATAAGCCTGGGGCGCAGCCGAGTAAGCTTGATCAGCCCTCGCTTGCGGCACAGGAGGAGGCTGAACCTTCCTTGGTGTGCTCTCGAAGGATTGTTTCTCCACCGGAGCAGGAGGAACTTGTCGAAATGGTGGAGGAGGCTGGCACGATGGCTGCTCGGGGATTTCTTCAGCGGGAAGGGCCGGTTGGGGCTCCCTGGATCTGAGGGTGGCTTCCGATTCTACCGAGTCAGTGCTCGAAGCGACGCGAGACGCTGGCTCTTTGTAAACCTTGTGACTTGGTTCCTTGGTGGGAGAAGAATCTTTTCTGAAGGACCTGAGGGATACATTGGAGCTGTATCCGCTGTCTGCTTTCGCGAGACCTTTTGATGCCGATTCTTGAGGTTCTTTGCCCGCTTCTAGTGTCGGCGAAGGTTCTCCCCCAACATATCCGGAATCAAACGATCTTGGCAGATGAGATCCGTGATCTGCAGGCGGCGCAGGCGGCGCAGACGGGTTCGGAGTGCCCGGTTCAGGTTCGAAAAGCTCGTCTTCCAATGCCGTATGCTTACTCGTAACTTGGAATTGCGGCGAAACTGGAGGGGAGTTGTCGAATGAGAACGGACTGAGAGTGCTGTCATGCGTGTAATCGTCCGCCGGTTCTTGAGCCTTCGTTGGGACCTCCTTTCTCTTGAAATGTTTCTTTTGTTCCTCGAAATCGTGCATTGAAAATGGCGGGCCATTTGGCACTTGTCTATAAATTGCCAATTGCTCAAATTGAGATTGAGACGTTCGAAGAGGCGATTCCGATTGGACCGTCCAAGGGGATTTGGTAGCTTCTGCTGGAACGGATATGGTGTTGCTTCGCTGGCTGAGACCATGGCGATGCCCCATTGCTGGGCCTTTCTTGGCTTCGGAATCGTCCTCTTCCGCACCCAGGCTATTGGCTCTTTTGTGAGAACTCGGTGCCGGGCTTGCTGCTCCATTAGTGATCCTCAATGTCCCATTGAATCCACCTAGATGCCCATAATTCTGATCGGTGGGTGTTTCCGCTCGTGGACCCTCGTTCATAAATGCCGGCTTTGGGCCCAGCATTGCGAGATCTGAGAGTGGGGAAGATGTTGGTTTCGATGGATTGTAGTGATAGTTCTCCATGTCGTTCAAAGAATCTGATCGTGGAGGATGAGACTGGGGTGGATCAGGCTCCACGTAGCTCGCCCTTGTTGCAACTCCATGGGCTAGGAGTGACTTCCTCCTGATGGGCGCGTACATGGCAGTGTCCGAGTTTGACCTTGTAGTGAGTGCCTGTCCAATTGGATTGTTGTCTTCTTCCAGTATAGATTGTCTCCTCGGTACCTCCGATTGTGGTGAAGGCACTTCAGCAACGAGTGAAAGTCTGGTCTGGTGGTTCGAGCTTTGGATCGAATTTCGATTTCGAATTTGGGGACGGCTCCTGGGATATGTCATTAGCATCTGCCTTGAGTTCCCGAGTGGACATACCTACATGTCTACAGGTGATTCATTAGGCTCCTCTCCGCCGATTTTGAACATCACCGGACTGCCTCTTTCTTTGAGACTCGATCCTCTCGACCGTCTGGGAAGTGGTGGCTGATCAAGTGGGCTTGGTTCAGGGGAGTTTGGCTCGAGACCGGTTGTCAGGTGTAGTTTTGGCTTGTCCTGCGAGCTTTTGGACCTGAAAAGGCTCATTCGCTTTCGCTGAACTGGCTGGTCATCTCTCCACCTGTCTGCAGCCTCGCCTGCAAACCCTTCAATCGGAGTGAAATTGTACGGAGTATGTGAAATAGATGCAGTCGAGACTGAATTCTGGCGAGTCGTCGGATTTGAGTGGTTCGAGTTCAGGCTCAGGAGATTCGAAATTGCGCCGTTCGTTTTCGGCTTCGACAGTTTATTTTGGGGCCGCCTGCCTAAAGGGGCCGACTGTTCATTACCCATAACGACAGTGATGCAATGAAATAACAATACAATGCTAGATGTTCACTCCTTCCATGGTCGACCCCGAGATCCAAAGCTTGAGGCGTCTAAAAATTAAAGGAGTCGATGAGGAGGTACCGTGGAAGGGAAGGAGGATGGTGAGTGACAAGAAGATACGGGCAATGCCTAATCTGATGATGAGACGACGGGAGCTCGGCCTGCAATGCGCTGGGATATTGAGCAAGGTTTAGCAGCGCATCCACCTGATATTGAGTGGGTCCTCCTTGGCGCGGCAGGGAGCGCGGAGTTTGATTGAAAAAACAAGGATCAATTTGGAAATGCTGTGGCCTCAAAGCGCGATGTTTCAGAGGAGGAGCTTGAACTCGCCCCGTACCGAATCGCTTGCCCCCAACACAGCCAGGCTGACGAAGCCTGCAGCGGATCAATAAAGCTGGGGGGGAGGAGGTTGGGTTGGGAGAGAGTGGAGGAAATGGAGGAATGGAGGAGGATGTACGGAGCACAGGAAGTGAGAAGAGTGAGCTGAGATAAGAGGTGGCCGGGCTCTTGTCAAGGTTCTTGTACAATTTATGATTCAGACAGCCTGCAGCTGCGGGAGTACGAAGTGTAGTTTAGTCACCGCTGTTGCGGGAGCTGGTGGAGTGTTGGGGAGCTGCTCCCCTCCGTTCTGCCTTGGGCCCAGTCGGTTGGCCAGGGGCCCAGGGGCTGCCAATGGGGGGCCCATCTGGGGGGGGGGGGTTCAACATGGCTCTGCGTCCACGACTCCAGCAGCTGGAACCAAGACACCCAGGACAGGCTGGACACCCAAGACACCCAAGACACCCCAAGACACACCCAAGACTCTCTTTTCCACCAGCGGCCACTCGGCGGCGAAGCTTTTTTCGCGTGGGTGCTGTGATTCCGAGCGATCACCTGCAAGCCGTCGCATCAATTTCGAGAAAACCTAGTCTCTTCCTGGTCGATCCAACCCAGAAGCGGGCGGGTGTGGCGGTGCCTGTTCTTGTTCCAGCCACACTCGTGACGAGGCAGCCAATTGTAAGCAGGAGGCGATCGGGGATCAGCTCCTGGAAGCGGGATGGGCTGGGAAGTGGGGGGCGTTTTTTTTTAGATTGCGTGGCTGCATCGGGTATGGTTCAGGCTGAGGCTGGGAGAAAGAGCCGCCAGAGAGGAGCCAGGGCTGCCATGCCCACGCGGGTGGTGAGGTGTGACCGTGTGCGACCAGGGAGGGCAGATAAGACAGGCCGATGATCCGGATCTGTCAATAAAATAATAATGATAATAATAATAATACTTGACTGTAAGGAGAGTAACAAGAACAACACGACTAGTCCGAGACGAGAAACACGGTACATGATGCCCTCGTTAGAGAGGACGTGTATGAAGTGCTGCCCTGGAGCTGGAACATCATGAGAGGTGTGTACTGTTATTGTTTATTGCATGATGCGTCCGAGAACGCATCAGCGAAGCAGTGGGAAATCAGGATTCCGGCAGGCATCGAGCGAGCATTGGCGATGGCTTGCGCGGTTGGCTGTGATTTGCCTGCGCCCAAGTGCCGCTTCCGTGGCTCGTGTTTCGCAAGATAGGAGTGTGGGACACAGGCGAGAGAGCAGAAACACCAAGATTAGGATCATCCAAGCCGGCGGGGCGCATCTATAAATGATCGGGAGGAAGGAGTGTGGATGCACATCTGGAGATCGATGTGCCGTTGCGTTTGTGGCAGGAAGAGGAACGTCGGAGGCTGGAGGCTGGAGGCTGTAGGCTGGAAGCCGGAAGCCGGAAGCGGAGGGAGGCTCCTCGGATGCGGTCACGTGATTGAGACGAAGGGTCCGTCCCGTCGGCGCCCGGTCGACAAGGTACCCGCCCAACACTTCGTATTCAGCATTCAGCTTCACTTGGAGGCTCTTCCTGGCCTCTCGTTCTCCCCTCCTCCCTCCCTCCCTCCCTCGTCTTCGCCTCCCTGCCTCCTCTCCACTCTCCACTCTCCACTCCCCCCTCCCCCCTCCCTTTTGATGATGATGTCTCTCAGATAAGATTGGCCCGGTGGCTGGACCATGACGCCTCTCCTCTCGACGACACATCACTTGTGCTTCCCCAACTGCAGTACATCACAGCCTTCACAGGTGCCGCGCTCCAGCCTGCTTTTTCCTGACGCACGCCCCGGCGGGCTTCCCACCATCGCCAGATACCCCACCACAAACAAGCTGGCCAGAACAACGGCTTGCATCTCTGCAGAAGCCCCTCGGATGTTCCCATGCGCTTGCCGGCGTCGTGTCATGCAGCGAGCAGCACGCAGCGCAGCACGCAGCGCAGCACGCAGCGCAGCAGCAAGCAGCAGCAAGCAGCGGCAGCTCTTGCCAGCCCGGATGCGCTCTCCGGAACGTGCCGATTCATTCCTCGCCGTCACCGTCACTCCTCCACGAGCCGATTTGTGTTATCTCTGGCCGCGCGACTGGCCGCGAATCATAGATAGATCAGCAAGGTTTGACCGGGATGCGCTTCACGCAGAAATCATTGATTACTGTAAGTAACGGGGTGATAGGTGCGTCGGTGCAGCCGTGCAGCCGTGCAACCGTGTGTCGGCAAAAGCGGGGTCGGTACTTGGTGGAGGGACGCGCACACGGCGAAGGATAGAAGATGGAGAGCAGAGAAGATGCGACGGCGAGCATCAGAGCGTGGGATGTCAGAGAGGGAGGCATGGATCCACTAGAACAGCGGCAGAAGCACGCCAGCCAGCCTGCTTGATGGGATCGCTGGAGCCAAGGCGAAGGGAAGGCAACGCAAGGCAGGGCAGGGCAGGGCAAGGCAAGCAAGGCAAGCAAGGGCAGGCAAGGAAGGGCAGGCAAGGGAATAAACTTTGCGGTACTGTACTATGCGCTGGTACTTACGGAGTACATTCCTCGATCGCTAAAGTCGGGGTCTCGCGTCTCCACCTTTTCCTTCTGGCAGCTGGCAGCCACCAGCCACCAGCCAGGCCGCCAATCACACCTCACTGCCCTCGATGCATGGTCAAACTGCCTCCATGCCACTTGCTCCGAGATTCTGCGAAAAGAATGTCGATTTTACAGTATGCCCACAACCCATCGCCAGTGTCACTCCAGAGGCGCCGCATCTACACTCTCCGTCGGCGCGGGGGTCGATGTGTCCGTATAAGAAGCGGTCACGATGGAGACTATATCAATCCCATCTCCATCCGCATTCCTCTCTTCGCCAGTCTTGAACCCCGCTCCGGAACCGCCGCCCCCTCCAAAGCGCAAGCCCTCGACCACGGCCAAGCCTGCGAATATAACGAAGAAGCAGGATGGGATATCAAAGCCCAAGCAATCCAAAAGTCGCAATGGTACGTTGTGCCTACAATAACTCGTCTTATCTTGGCAGCGATAAGGACTGATGGGGTACCTGCCGGATAGGATGTATAACGTGCAAGGCGAAACGATTGAAGTGCGACGAAACGAAACCATCATGTCAACAATGTCACAAGAGGAGTGTGACATGTGGGGGATACAAGAAGGATTTCAAATGGAGGCCGTTCGAGGAGACGACGTTCTCAAATAAACTTGCCCCAACCAGGCAAAAACGAAGCACGGTTCCAAGCAGCCAAGGGGAACCTCTGCTAATTTTTGCAGATTCTATAGCTCTGAATAAACCACCAGATCCGCCTGTTGCAAGTCCTTCTGACGCCTCCTTTTCGCCAACGTCCGCCAAAGCGGAAGATATCTCGATGCAGGAATCGTGCTTCCACGCTGCAGCCCCATCTCCCCCGACTTTTCCTACGAATACTTTCTCAGGTCTCCACTTTGACCACCCTCCAATGTTCGATATGAGCACGCCCCCATATACGCGAGAGTTATCAAGACCTCGATTTGAACCGGATTCCGTCACAAGAAGCTTGAGTAGCTTGTTCGAGGACACACATCATGTCCCGCCAAATACTGCAACACGGCCGAGTTTCTCTGGGCAGTCTCCAAGGTTGATAGACCTCTTATTACCAGGATCAGAGCTCAATGCAAGGCCTGGGACGGTAACAATACCGCCGTTGAGTACTCCAACTCCGGAAATGAAATTGTCCCCTGTGATGGATCACTCATATCTTCCAAGTATGGAGGTAACACGAGACACGAATTTAGAGGATGATATTGAGGAGATTATCAGGGAACCACAGATGACTGCTACCGATTTATGGGAAAGAGGGCCGTTGTTACGGATGTCCAGGTCTTCGACCGCTTCGCTGATGGCGATGAGAGACGATCCTTTCAATAAGATATATCGCCAGCCAGAGGTTCAAGCAGGAAGTCCGGAAATGCTGATGTTACGGTTCGACAAGCAGACTTGTGGAATTCTGTCAGTGAAAGACGGACCGACTGAGAATCCATGGAGGACGTTGGTGTGGCCACTTGCGAGGGATTCTCCTGCATTGTATCATGCGATTGCCTCGATGACCGCATTTCACACTTCCAAGGAGAAGCCTGCTCTCAGAGTTGATGGTATGGAGCATATGAGACGAAGTATTCGATCACTTGCTACTGGAATCGAGAAAATGCGGACAGACACAGCTCTTGCTACAACTCTGGTTCTTGCATTCTCTGAGTCCTGGGACCAACACATCTCCACCGGAATCGAGCATCTACGTGGAGCGAAGATTTTGGTCAACCAAGCTCTAGTTTCTCACAAGAAGAACAAACTCTCCGGCGATGACTTGACCCGTCTGAGATTTCTCTGCAACACCTGGGTCTACATGGACGTAATTGCACGCCTCACTTCCGTGGAAGAAGACGAATCCAACAGCTTCGACCAAATCCTCGCACCTTTCAACCTCCCAAACAGCACCACCGAAATTGACCCCCTCATGGGCTGCGCTTCCACGCTCTTCCCCCTCATCGGCAAAGTCGCCAATCTCTGCCACAAAGTACGCAAAGCACCCACAAACTCGATTGCTATCATCTCCCAAGCCATGGACTTGAAAGAAGCAATCGTCCAATGGTCACCACCACACTGCGCAACAATTGAACGGCCGGAGGATCCAACTAGTGAGATTCAGCATGCGTTACAGACGGCGGAAGCATACCGCTACGCAACACTCCTCTACCTGCACCAAGCCGTCCCCGAGATACCATCCTGGTCCGCCGCCCAACTAGCGAAGAAAGTCCTTGTTTACCTAGCCACCGTGCCACTTTCCTCTCGTCTAGTGATCGTGCAGATCTACCCCCTTCTAGCGGCAGGCTGCGAAGCCACAGAGAAAGAAGACAGACAATGGGTCGAAGAGCGCTGGCAAGCAATGGCGTCGCGGATGTGGATCGGCAACATCGACCGCTGCTACGAAGTGATGCAAGAAGTGTGGTCTCGCCGCGACGTCGCCGCGGCTTCCAAAGCCGCCGCAGAGAAAGCGAAGCAGAGACTGGGGATGGTGCATTCGGAGAGTAGCAAGCGGAAGTTCGAGTCCGAGATGGCTATGGATGAGGGATTTAGTTTTGAAGAGATGTTGACAGGGAAGAGGCAGCGAATGAGCTTTTTGCAAGGAGGGCAGGGAGGGGGCTTTGAGAGACCGGTGGAGAGAAAGAGGGTCCATGAGCCGGATGAGGTGGATGGCGACGAGGAGTTGGGGGTTAGGGGACGCTTGCACTGGGTTAGTGTTATGAAAGAGTGGGAGTGGGAAAGTAAGCCATTTCAACATCTTCCCCTTTTCTCTATAAATATGCGTCCATTTTCATTTCATTTCTCATTTCTCATATTACCTGCCTGGTATATTCGGTCAATCTATCCATCCGTCCTTCCATCCCATATAAACACCCCCCAAAAAGATCAAATCAAAGACAAATACAAGAAGATCCCACTGACTAACTCCAACAGTCCTCCTCGGCTAAGCCCTCAACCTCTCCAAACTCGTCACCTTCCTCAACCACACCTTCGCGGCCTTGACTCCACCTCCACTCGTCCTCGGCCTCTCCCTCTCCACCGAGCTCCTCTCAACCCGATGCATCCTCGTCGGCGGCATCCGCATCCCCCCATTAAACTGCACCTGCGGCGCATATCCATATCCATACCCATATCCCACCCCACCTCCCATCCCGATCCCAAGTCCTGCTGGGAAATGATTGGTATCACTAGCAGGCGGTCCAAACCGGCCCCGCCACGGATCCCCGCTCAAGCTCCTGCCCGCCATGCGCCGCCGCTCCTCTTCCGCCGCGAGCCAGGCGCGCATCATGGACCGCTCGCGCTCGATCCGTTGCGCTTCCGCTTGTCTGGCATGATTGATGAATGCTTCGAATGTGCTGAGCCGATTCGGCGCATCGGGCAACCGGCCGAGTGGATCCGCTAACGTGTCCAGCGAGCTCTGGCTCGTGTTCGGGAGGAGGGTATGCGGATGTTGCTGTTGCGGTTGCGGTTGCTGGGGATCTGGTTGGGACGCCGCGACCTGCGGGGATACAGGCGAGGGTTGGTGTGTAGGCGGCGCGGGGAAACTCAAGAGTAGGCTCGTAGGGAGGATCTCGTTTTGCAGTGGGTGCAGAGTGGTGGCGTTCGAGAGGGTCGAGATGCGGTTTATGTTTGTGTTTGGGTTTGTGCGGGGGGTTGTGGGTGGGAGAGTTACAGGTCCGGCGCGGCTGGCGCGCGGTTTGCGGCGGAAGAGGTGGAATCTGGAGAACATCGTTCTCGCCCTTCTCTCTTGTGCTGATTCCTGGGTGGGCTGGATGGGGCTTTATATTGGGTGGCTGGTTGGCCTGGAGCGGGTGAGGAGATTTATTAGCGTGGTGTTTTTGGCGTCCTACGTTTCTTGGTTCTGGAGGCTCGGTTTCGTTTCTCCCGACTGGGCTTTAGTGATGGCTTTGGTGTCTGTTGATCTGAGGGATGATATGGGATAGATTGCAATGAATGACCAGCATCCGATACTGCAGTGTGTTTCTCAGATGTCGATTCAATATAGCTTAGGATCAATGGACAGAGGCTGAAAGAAGGCTTCTCGAGAGCTTGCGTTTGGTGGCGTGAGGCTTGACCTGCGGCGATAGATGGTGGGATGAAGCGTGCTATATCTCCTCCTTCTTCCCCTCACCTCACCTCAACGCAGTATCCGAGTGAAAGGGATAAGATAACAGCTCGCTCGCAACTGTCTGAGCAATGACCCCGTCTCGTTGATCCCCCTCTCTCACAGACAATATTTTTGCTTTTGCGATCCACCGAACTTGGGGACCAAGCGCGCGGTGTGCGGGGAGACCCTGTTCAGCGGCCGCACAACCCCGATGAGTGGGAGGCTCTCCTCGCTTCCTCCTTGCACCGCGAGTCGGCTTGAGCAGCGGTACCTGGCTCGTAGCGGAGGGGCGCGATGGTGCTCTGACGTTCTCCTCCCCTGGATTGGGCCTTCGCGATTGGTGGTTGAGCAGGGAGCGGAGGGAGCGGAGGCAAGGCAAGGCAGGGCAAAGCAGGGCAATGCAGGGGAGTTCGGCTCCTGCCTGCCAAGCTGTCCAGCTTCGGATCTGAGCACCCGACAGACAGTGCGTATCCCCCCTTCCCTCTTCTCGCCTCTCCAATTCGTCCAAAGTTGCAAAAGAGAACTTCGGGGCCCGAGAGTCGTGTCCCTGGAGCAAGCTCGGCTGTGAGGTTGCTGATGGACAGGGGGAAAAGGCGGGGAAATTTGTTTTAGCGAGTTCGGGGAGGATTGATGGTCTGGGATGGCCAATGAGGGGGCGGCCGCACGTTTGTTTCACGTTTTCATCTGCGGCGAGGGGAGGGGAGGAGAAATAGAGTGCTCGGGCCGTTCCTGCTTGCGGTGTTGGAGAAGGAAGATTATTGGGAGGGATTGGATGAAGTGAAGGGTGCTTGGACCGTCGGTTCGTGGGTCGTGGGATGGAGGGGATTGGATTGGTGGGAGGGGGTATCGATCGGGATGTGGCGGGTACCTTAATGATGCAGAGGATTGTGCGGAGAGTGTTGGGAATAGAGCAGGTTTATGTGCGAGTTGGGGTTTAGTTAACAAAATAACTGAGAAAAGGAAGTTTTGGTAGTGGGGTTGGATGGGGAAGGCATGTGACATCGATAGGGCAGCTTGGCAATGGAGGGGTGGGATGGGGACGGTAAACCCTATGGTACTAGAAATATATTTCTTTTGGCAGCTGAGTGGGATGTGGGAAAACCTTTCCAATCATCATCATCTTCGACACATAGCTTCGGCATTCAGTCAAAGAGTGTGTTCTCGCCTTTGCAGCGCTTGTTACCAGCGACAATCCAGAATCATGAACAAAAATGTCAAAACACATGGTGGGTGTAAGGAGAAAAGAAGGGATGCGATGATCGGCATCCGTGCCGCTGTCACACAGCTGTCAGAAGCAAGCAGTCAACTCTTGCATGCAAATGCCGTCAAAGCGCAAGCTATTCAGCAGTCCCTGGCAGTTGGCGGTATGCGGTGGCGTTTGGGGACAAGATACCTAGCGATAACTTCAAGATAAGAGGGGTGCTCTGACATAACATCTTCCAATCTTCATGCGCTGGGATGGGGATTAAGCTTGAATTTTCTTGTTCTTGATTATGAGAGGTCACGATTGCGTTAAGATTAAGTTCAGGGGGAAGGGCAAGAGAGGGGCAAACCCGATAAGAAAAATCAGATGAGTTGCGGTGAAGGTTGAAGATCTGAACGTGCGCGGTTTCACGTCAAAATGTTTCAAGTGGCGCAAGCATGCTGCCGCCGCGGATTGCGCAACAATCACGACACCCAGATCTTCCTCATCGAGGTGGTGATTCGTTATTGCGTAATACTTGGCTCGTTTATAAATAAGTTGCTATTACGATTGGTGGGGGAGGGAGAATGAGGTTGGAGGAGGGAGCAGTGCCTCCTAAAGGAAGATCGTCAGCGGGCTGTGATGAGATAGACGGTTCGGGATGTGGGCGAGATGAATGAGCTCAGCGCTGACGGGCTGCAGATATTTCATCTGTATGACTGCCGATCTTATCGTACAATAAACCAATGTTGGGCATCAAGCCGCGATGATCCCCAAGACTCAGTGGTTAAAGAGCAAAATCTGATCCCAAGTGAAAGGGCGTGAGACTACAGTATCTTCTCCAGTTCTCACTCACTTATTTAAAAATAGACTTGACTCATTTTTTGCCTCCTCATTTTTAAGCATACTTACGTTGATCCCATAGTGTGGAGTGGCGGGCTATGCATGCGGCTCCCTCTGACAAGTTTGTCATTCGGAATTCAAACCCCTGCATTGACACAATCCACACTAATTTCCATCCCGTCAAAACGCTTTGGCAGAACCAATATTCGCAAGTTACAGAAACTAAGTTTTTGTCAATCTTCTATTCGCTGTCATTTCTGCCAATTCATGAAACTCGCTTCTTGAACACCGATACTCGGGGGGCTTTCTGGGGGACGCGAAAGTCTCAAGACCAGTTCGGCAGGGCTACAACTACGATCACCTTTGAGAGCGAAGGCTGACTGGCTCATATCTCTGGGTGCTCGTCCCGTTCTAGGTACCCCCAAGCTGAGATATGCTATTCTTGGGTTGGATGGGTCCGGGACCAGATCTCTATATTGTTTTGTGAGATTCACTGGGTAGACCGTAGTGGTCTTTCGATGAAACTTCTTCGAGCGAAAAATACCCGACATTCCCAAATTTTTCATAAATAGTCCAATGGTAAGTCTCTAGTTTAGGAATTGATCTCGCAAATGCGAATATTGTGGAGGCTGTAAGATGTGGATGTGTGCTTTCCAAATCTCAAGACCTGGCCTGTGACACAACGCACACTTCAAATTTCGGTTTCGTTAAAATTATCTCCAAGAACCAATACGAGCAAGCTGTGGATGAAATTTGTTGTCCGTATCTTTATTTGCTGTTAAAACTGTCAAGTTTGTCACCTAGACCTATAGCCATTGGGTTGCGAGTATTATATGGTGGATTCTGAGAGGAAGTCTGGACAGATGAACCACGAAAGGTACACAGTGAAAGCCCGGATTTCAGTCGAACGGCCAGGCATATGGGAAAGCTGCGTCAAATAATCGAAAGCCCTTTCTTTGGGATATCACCTGTTTGAGCCCAATTGGTTCAAATATGTTTTACCCCACCCCAATCAAGTTCCACAATGCGGTCAAATCAAGCTCCCCATGCCAGGGTAGTTGCTTCCTATTGTTCCTTCAGTCGCAATTTTCTTTGTTGCTTTGCCGAGGGAGTGATAAGAAGTCGGGAGTTTTGAGAATTCACGTCCTCCTGGTGAATATCTTGCGACGATCTCCCGTTTTGAGAAGCAATAATAAAAGACTAGTCTATCATTGTTTCTATATGAGCAAAATTTGGGAACGTCAACAGTTACAACCCTTCGTTGATACGGGTGGAGACATCATGGTGGTGGATCCTGGCAATAGTTTTGCTTCCGCCCATGCACATTCCGCCAAAGTCTTGCGTACAGTACACTCCTTCCCCTGTTCCACATCCAGTGATTTTGTAGAAGATGTTGTGCTGTTGTCATCACCTTCTCTGCTGTCAACTTCCATTTCATGAACGTACAATTACTAGGAATTGGAGCGAAGGGTGGGGTTGAAATCTTGATTTCATGATCAGTAAATCTCCGGACTTGAAGATTCAACACTTCCTGAGTGGGTCTGTGGAATCCAAATTCCAAGCCATGTGCTGCCCATAAGTGTTTCTTTTACCCCAATTGAGAAAATGGAATTGTGCCTCAACTCTTTTAAATACCTGTTTGTATCATGGGACCACAGCCTGTTCTGCGCTTGTCCATTGGCTCAACCTGAATTGGTTTCATGATAATATATCCTCGTAAAGAGAAGAAAACTCCCCAGTAAACAACGAGACTCCTGGCGTGCCTAAAGCGAATTATATATAGAAAGCAAGCGGGCAGAGGAGCTTCAAAACGAAGACAGAATGACAAGTTCTGCACTCGACCGCGAGTGAGTTCGAGTGGGGAGGTTGGGTAACCTGAGCAAGAAATCAGAAGTCTTGCCCTGGCTGTGGAGTATCACTCGATGTTGTTTGTTATTGATCTCTGCTAGATACATGGTTTTGCTATTGTTATTTTTTCTTGCTGTCAGCTCTCAAAACCCGTTGCAAGATACGAGGTTCCTCAACCAGAGGGATTTCCTCAATCAGGTCTCTGTTTCAGAATCACACAGTTCGAGAAGAAACGGAGCCGGGACGGTATCGCCGAGTAAAGGAGAGCTAACTCCAAAGCAGGAATGTCTGGTACAATGGTTGTTGTGTCGTGGGCGATTGAGATTGTTTCTCAAGGTTTTCCCATGTATATAGTGGCGTTCGTGGTGACTCAGAGCTTTGTTGCATACCTTCCTGCTCTACTCGATCTTATTGTGTTGAATGAAACGATCCGCGCGGCCCTGGTTTTGTAACAGGTTAATCCTAGTCGATTTCCCAAGTTGGAAGGCAAAATTTGGTAATTGAATTGATAAGACAAGTGCAGACGATTTAAGGTCATCAAAAGAAAGATTTATGAACTTTCCGTTTTCGGGGAAATACAAGAACAGACGCCGGAAGATCCACCAGCTCCAGTTACCTTGTGGGCAAAGCCCTTAAAGCGTTGCGTGTTTTCTCCTCGCTGGTTCTCTCGTTGCATACTAATGGCAGCTAGCATGACGTGAAAATGCCCAATAGAAGTAGGAAGGTGTAGGGACGACTTTCCAACGGCAGTACGTGGAAGGTAGCAATGAAGTTGTTCAGGTAAGAGACTCTGTCCCGGAAAACCCCTGTAGCTACTCGGGAAACGGTTCCGACGTCAAGTGTCATCATGGCTATATACTGAAAATTTGTGCTGTTAATCTTGCATCTGCTGTCAGCTGACTCGTGCCCCAAAATCGCATTCGTTCTTGGCCTCCTCAGTGGCTAGAGTCATGGTATAAGATCTCGATTCCAAAGCAAAACTCCGAGGCTCTCCGCGGCTCAGTAGCTGCACAATGTAGGTTATCATCCTCCCGTGGTCTATAGAGTTGATTAAGGACCAATTCGGAAGGTTAACTGGCAAGTCCCGCGCTTTTAATATCCCAATTTCTTGTCAAGCAACTCGATTAAGTACTTGAGCTCCAGAAAATTCCCGCTTAAGCCACGGAAAGATATAGTCCACGCCACATTCGAAAGCATTTCTCCGGGCCGCCTCCTGATCTCACTCAAGTGAGCCTCGGCGTTCGAGATAGGCCAACCTATAACCTTCTTGTATTAAAAAGAGACTTGCTTGCCATTCAACTCCAACTGCACTGCATCTAGAGGATCCGGAACCTGCAAACGTGAGCGCTGTTTATGTGAGTTGCCCTCCCGCTCAGCAAAGATACCTCATTTCGAGTACGAAATTTACGAGTCCGTTGCAGGAAAAGCAAAATATTATCCACATCCTATAATAGCCATGAGCCGAAAATTGACAGTAGACGAGACTTGACGGCGGACGAGAACTTGACAGTGAAGTTTCAGGCGCTGCCTTGATAGCTATTAGATCTCTATGAGAAATTAATTTCAAGTCCTGCGGCTATCGTGTCAGGTATTGTGGAAGAGAGGTTGACTCACCTGTGATACGTTGTGTAAATAATTACAAACCCTGTCCAAGCTGAGCTCCTTTCATTGTATTGGCAAGACTAAGGAACACGAAACTTGTTTTCTTGTCAAAAATTTACTTGCCACCCCTGGTTTGCTTTTCTTCTGTTCATGAAGTCAAATGTCTTTGCAATTAAAAACTCTTGTGTCTCGCTCAGTCCATGTCAGAACCCATCCACTCAAGTTAACTTAAGCTCTTGAAACATTTAGAGACATCTCAGCCTCTTGTTTCTATAGAATTCAAAGTATTTTCACGTTTCTTATTCATTTTCCTTGAAATGTGAGACACCTGCACAGGTGGAAAATTATCCAATTCATCGCCAGTCGTGACGATACTGAGGAAAGAGCTATCGCCTGATGTCACGTTGATACCAGGTGTGGCAAGCTTACTTTGTGCCCGTATATATAAGGACCTCACATATCCTTTGAGAGGTATACGAAAGAGTTTCGCTTGAGCAATGCGATAGATTTCAGTTCTGTGGTAAGGGGATGGGGATCTTGGTTTTCCCACCAAGTGGCTGATAAATGCATCTTTGTATGATCCTGAATAATTGCAACTTCCCATATCACTTGCGCTACACTTACTAATGGAAGTGAATTGCTGTCAGGTGCTTGTTTGTTGTCAATCTTCATGAATGCGCCAGGACAAAACACTGTTTTCATGAAGGAGTTACCTGCCGAGGATCCAGACTCGAACCATGTTTGAGCTTCAGATACAGCTTTGAAAGGGGCTTTGACCTTCAACTGAGATGTTGGTTGGTCTTCCCAAATGCGATCTGGCGCGAGTATTTTTGCGCACTGAGGACTGAAAGGTGAGATAGGTGTCAAGGATCTGTTTATATATCTTGGCCACAAGTGGTGGAAGACGTGTAAATACTCCGTGGTAAGAATACTTCCAGGTTCCCACTGATTTCTTCTGTCTCGTTGAAGCAGCTAGTGTCTTTGGCGGGAACAAAAGATATGGGTTCTCCTTGAAGTATATAAGCGAAACTCCTTCGTGGGGCGACTGAAATTATATGGCGCGAAAAGTTCAGTGGCTGGTTGAACTGAGACTAATTCACATGCTGAGAAAAGTTTCTGGGGAAGGAGGGAAAATTATTGGTACGCTAAATTCCTGGTTTCTTACTGGCGGAAGGAGGTGGCTGTGGGGATTTAGGTGTTGAATCAAGTGAAGGCTCACTGAATTTGCTTTAAAAGGACTGTTGTCATTGATCTGCGTACTGTCAATATTCGAACTCTTGTCAATTTCACGATGTTACTGGAATTGTCGAGAAATTTGAGATTAGAAATTGGTCACGAAGGAGAAGAGGTAGGTAAGCAGCAGCCGGTTTCAGAGAACAGCACCAAATGTCTTGTTGATGTCTACAGGGAAATGAAACAAATCGTGATCAGACCACACTAGGAACGTTGCTCACGTGATACCCCTAGTAAACGAGCCCCTGAACCGTCGCTTAGACTCGGTCCAGCCGTGCCTAATACATCAAGACATCGAGGAACGGCTTGCGCGAATGCCACGCCCGAGCCTTTGAAGCTGTTATCAAGCACGTTCTTGGATGGAGTGGCGAAGGAGGTGGGATAGGGTATACATATTCAGGAACCAATGATATATTCGAATACATAAGATCTTACAAAACCCGTTTTCACACCTGGTGACTAGAGACCAGAAACTAGCACCTGACGTACTACAGACCATAAACAAAAGTATACTTCGCATCCGCATACCGAACGTCATTCGAATTCTCATCCTCAATCTCCTCCGGGGTCATCGCAGCGACCTTCTTCGCCTTCCGCTTATTCGCAAACTGCAGCACAAAGCGATACGCCGTATATCCCAGCAAAGAGACCGCAACCAAACCTAACGTGACTGAAAGCGGATAGCGATAGTCTGGACTGTACTTCGCTAGGAACAGCTCACTGCCGATGATGCCCGCAAGATTCCCCCAGCCGTTGATGCCGATGACGACGGTCCGCTTGCCGGGTTCGGGAGTATTGCCTGCAAGCCAGGCTGCCGTTAGAGGGGACGTGATGAATGTGCCTGCGAGCAAGATTACTAAACCTGCGTAACGACCGCCAGTATTTTCGAGTGGGAGGGTGATGGTTAGGATTAGTCCTATCATGACGATACTAAGGGCTACGAGAATGTGGTAGAGACGGTTGCGGAAGTGGTCTGATGACCAAGCGAAGCAGAGGAGGAAGATGGCGCCGATAACATAAGGAGGGACGGTCATAAGATTCGTAGTGGGCCCGGAGTAACCCAAACCCTAACAGTGATGTCAGCATAGGCAAAAGTCTGTCCTTCGCTGTCAGAATGCCTTAAAACCTCACCGCGAGTCGGTAAGAGTTCGTGATTCTTGAAGGAGATCGACAGACGGAAGGGGACATAGGGGGTATTTACCTTAACCACAAGAGGAAAAAATATAGTGAACCCTTGCGGCGGTACACTGGTAAGTATATTGAATGGCAGTACAAACCAAAGTTTCCAGTCCTTGCAGCCCTCAATAATGTCGCGTCGATTGAGCTTTGTGGTCGAATCCAAGTTAGCCGTGGTGTCAATGACCATACGGTTCTCAGCATACGCTCGTTCATTTTCAGTCAAAAACCATGCTGTCCCTGGGCTTTTCGCCAACCAGAACGGCGTCACAAGAGCGATACCAATAGAGCAAGTTCCCTCAATAATAAATAAATACTGCCAACCGTGCAGACTGCCCTCGATTTTAAAGCATCCATACGCAATGATTCCACCAAAAGCTCCAGCGATGGCGTAGCTGCCGTAAAATAGAGCAATACGGAATGCAAGGTCGTACCGGGGATAAAACCGGGACATATAGGTAACAACAGTCGGGTAGAAACCAGATTCAAACACTCCGATTAGAAGCCGGATCGCAATGAGTTGGGACTCAGTCTTGATAAAAGCGTGGCCCAGTGTGAGGACGCCCCATCCTACGCCGATTATGCCCAGCCAGTAAGTTTGCCCAACTTTCTTGCCTATGGATGCCGAAAAGGGTTGCAAAGGGACATAAGTAGCAAAGAACAGAGACGTGGCCGTGTTGATTGCTGAAGCGGGCATGCCCAGGTCGTTGGTAAATCCATCTGTCTGAGCGTTTCCGAGGTTGCTACGGTCAAGACCGTTGAAGAGATAGATGAGAGCACAAAAGGGGACTAGGAATAGGTCGAGCTTGCGATTTAGGTTTCGATGTTGGGCTTTCTCCTCGGCGGTGATGGGGGTATAGCCGCCTTGTCGCGAGCTATCGAGTGTTTGCTGAATCACTTTGGCTTCATTCTCACCCACTGCTTGGACTTCTCTGGCAACTTCTGCAGCTGTCACGCTTTCGAGGTGCGTGATGGCAGCTATTGGTGGTTTCTCCATGATTGGCGAGTCAATCCGACGACAAGCAATATAAGAAAATCTGAAGGACTTTGAGATGCGGCCTGATTTTAATAGGTGTATAGGAGAATGGGAAACTTAAATTCGAGAATTGGGTATCACCCATCACTTAACTAATATTGAAGAGGAGGAGGAGATCATAAAGATGGGGGAATGAGGATAGCCGACGACAAGGACATGATCGACGGGGGTATTCCGAATGGGGGTATCTGACAAAGCTAGCCGATCGAGATATTCCGTCTCAGCAAGCTTTTCTAATGCCCATTGATAGTTAGGAAAGAGGATTGTTGCTGCAGGAACAGTCAAGGAAGGAAACCCGGCCGTTGGTTTTGAAAGGTCGGTTGGTAATCAAAGTGGTTCAGATCAACAAATGAGAATACCCGTCCCCACAGTTCCCCGCACCAGAAAAGTAGTGACAACTCCTTGGCCTGTAAAAGGAGGGAGAACTCGGCTCGAGCGGGCAAATGCCCAGACTTTGCGGGTCGGCTATGTCGGTGGAATTAAGTAGAGTGGGAGTGTCGCTACCATTGGTTCATTGGAGGCTCCTCCCGGCGATCCGACTTCCGTAAAGCTATTTTCCCGTCATCTGGTCTCTCGGCGTGAGACTTCGGTCAAGATTATAGGCGCACCTCTCGTAGACGACGATAACTTTGCACCCTCGACGATTGGTGACACAATCGTTATTCCCGTTGCTGTTCATCGACCACATTCTCCAAAGAATTGCCGAGATTGGAATATAAGAGTATCATCCGGCATTTGAAGATTGTTATTTTCTATCAATTTTCTTCAAATCACACCTCCCAACGTTATATATTTTAGTTATATTTACAGGATACACAAGATTTGTATCATTAGTATGGCATCCACTGCATCATATCCTTCCTCAAGGGCTGGCTCAACCTTACCTCCCTTTCCAGACGACCTCCCAACCGCTCCTCTAGTAACCATCTCCCTTCGGAAACTTGTCGAAAACACTTCCGGCGTTGAACATGAACGCCTCTTCTCAGCTGCTAAAAGCCTTGGCTTCTTCTACTTGGACGTACGAGGCACACCTGAAGGCAAGCACTTACTTCGGCAGGCAGACGATTTGTTTGATCTCATGAATGAGTTCTTTTCCCTACCCGTAGAAGAGAAAGCAAAATATGATTTCGCTGCCAAGAAGAGCTACTTCGGGTACAAAGGGATAGGAAAGGAGGTAGTGGACGGCAAGGGGACGAGAGATAAGAATGAGATCTACAATGTGACCCAACCACTCTAACCTCTGCCACGCTGGCCTAAATATTAACGGTCATTAGATCTCTAAAGACGACCTCCTTTCGGTAACCGATCCTCTTCCCGCTCCGGCAGTAATCACTACGAACCGCCAAACCCTAACTTCCTATATAACCACCAACACCGCGATCCTCACAACACTCTTCGCCTCCCTCTCCACCTCCCTCCAACTCCCATCAGATACCTTCGCCTCACTGCACAGGCCAGCAGCTCCATCCGGCTGCCACGTACGATTCATATCTGCACCACCCCAAGATCCATCCACCCGTTCCAACGCCCTGGGCGAACACACCGATTTCGGCTCGCTCACAATCCTGCTCAACCGCCTCGGTGGGCTTCAAGTCCAGCTCCCCGGGACGGAAGAATGGGTCTATGTCCGCCCCATGCCTGGGTGCGCAATCGTGAATCTCGGAGACGCGATGGTCAAGTTCAGTGGGGGCATCCTGAGGAGTAATTTACATCGGGTGGTAAGTCCGCCTGGCGAGCAAGCGAAGGAAGTCCGGAGGAGCTTGGTGTATTTTTCAAGGCCAGAACATGATGTTGTGTTGACGAGGTTGAGGGGAGGGTTCGTGGATGAGCTGGGCGATGGAGGGGTGGAAGAAGTGGGCGTAAGTGCGAGGGAGTGGCTGGCGAGGAGGCATATTGGGAGGAAGATTGAGTTTTTTGAGGGGAAGGAGAGCTGGGAGGGTTCCATGGGGACGGAGGCTAGGCCGTTGGTGGTTAGCCAGTAGAAGGAGGTACGATTGGTATCTATTGAACATGGCGTGATTTTACGGGACTAATATATAATTTTTAACCGCTTTACCGAACTTGTTGGATTCGAAAACGACGTGACGCAAGCTCCCAGGCTCTATCCTCGACAAGCTACCGGGTCTGAATGCCAAGTTTTCTGCATAATATTCCGCGTTAAGACGCAACTTCAGGCTACAAAATCTTCCATTTAACGTAGGATACAGAGACACAATCAGCGGCAAACCTCAACTCAAGTCTGCTGTGATGTGTAAATGATATGTAGTATGGGCTTTTCAGCTTTTGAAGGATGCCACTTGTGAGACATGGTGGTGGCTAAGATAGATATATTACTCCCTTCTCCCCTGTAAGGCCAACCCCGTCTCCATTTCCTCCCTGCCTCATTGTTGTTATTTTCACTTAAGTTTGATCCCGCAACCTTACACTGGATAATATCTTCCTCCATGCCGATACCTTCTCTTCGCGCCCTTGATCATCTTCTACCCTCCCAATACAGAGCTGCCTATACATGTCTGTCTTCAAAATCTTCTCATTATGCGTTTTCTGGAAAGGCTTCGTGGCATCCTTTCCAGCCAACTTATTCAAGACTTAATATTATATATTAGCGCCCTTCACTCAATTTCAAACAACAGATTCAACTTTAGGGTTCGATTCAAAAGTCGGCGAAAGCGCTCAAAGAAAGACATACTTTTATCTCCACCAGGATGCGTCTTTTGGAAGTCTGTCACATCGTAAATCTCGTCATTGATTATGATCCAGAGGTCTGCAGTGGTATTGTGTGAGGAGACTTCTGCGAGAGAGAATGCTAGTGACATTTTGGCAAAGACCATCGAATCTTAGTGGAGTTGGAAAATGGAATCGAGGCGTAGGTTTTCCAGGAGACGTCTTTTAATACCAATTATGCGGGGACCCGAGTTGCACCGAGGCAATAATATGCTATCATCCGAGTGGGGGTTTCACCGCGCCAACTTTTGCTGTTCTCTTAACCGCTGGAATTTACATATTATTGTCTCACACGTCGTTTCACCAGTTTGGTATTTTTGAATACCTTCCATCTCCCATCAGTTGGAGAATGTTTCCGATATACAAAAGAAACTACTGGGTGTGTTACATGAGTGTCCATCACTTTAAACGAACGTCTTTCAAGTTTCAGCAATATTGATTCCCCCCACTCAGCAGACTCGGCTTCCAGCCAGACTAGAAGAGTGAAGACAATCCAGAAAGAATTGAAGAAGACGGAGTGCTCTTGCCCATCAACTCTCCTAACAGCGAACTTAGACCGTTTGTACCATTCAATGCCGACACTATACTTGAGATTAAGGAATTATTTGACGACAATCCTTGCTGTAAAGTACCAACGAGGATCTTGATCAACGGCACTTCTCCAGTCAGGAAAACCTTATTAAGGATGGCTTCATAATAGGGAATATGGACCCCATTATAGACCGTTGAATTGCCAGAAGCTGATATCACAACGTTGCCTTTAGTTAGAGCACTTGATTCGGCTTGGAGAATGAGTCCTATATGTTGTATTGCGGTTTTGAGGTCGAATGTTGCTCGGATTGGAACGGTGTTGTTGCCTGGGATTAAAGACACGTTCTCGATTCTGCCTTGGCCCATTGTCACGTTGCCTATTATCATGTTCAAGGTAACGTTCCCCTGTGAGCGTTGACATGTCAATTACAATTGGAATTTAAGTGTGAACAATTCAGTGTACGTACTAGTTCGAGGGAGATGACAGTCGGATTCGGTAGAGTGATATTGCCCACTAAATTTGTCCCATCCTGGTCAGGAGGGAAGACAATGGCGACATTGGTGAATTCAAATCCGGCCAAGTTGTTAAATCCTAAATAGAATTCAATTGTTACTACTGTTAAATGGAAATTGCGCTTAGTATCTGCACATGTCTCTTACCAGTTAGTTTCACTTCTTTGTTCAATTTTATTGGTGCCTTCAGAGCACCCAGGTACGCAGTGGTAGCACCACTCGCCGACAAGGTGAACTTCTTATTGGCAACAACACTTTCCAGGAACTCCTCAAAGCGATCTTGATCCAAGATATCAACGGTCTGACGAGTGATGTTGATTTTGGTCTCGCCTTTCAGGTGATACTCGGGGAGGTTCACTTTGACATAGGGATCTGTTGGCCCGCTGTCATTTGTAAAAAGACTCAAGGTGATAGGTTTCAAGTCGACGGTCAATCCAGCTGGAATCTTGAGAGATGAGGACAGGGAGTAAACAACACTACTTGGGGTAGGGTTTATAATGCTCGCTGAGAATATCGGAAGAGAGGCATTGTCCACGAGCCTTTGAGCAATTGCGGGAAAAACCACGAGAAAGCTGCTCTCTAGTTAATAAATTATGAGCATAGATACCTGTGAGAACTTACACAATTGGTAGTAGGATGGCAAGCAATATGACGGTACCGACTGTGTACAGAATCCAGTATCTTCTGTAATGTTGCCGTCGTCTCCTCCAAAATCCCGGCCGCGCAGGTATCTTCTCTGATGAAGATTCTACTGGAGAAAGATTCCTAATGGCACCCACAACATTTTTGGTGTCCCAATACGGTGTTCGAATGTCCTCGATATACTCCACGCTCGGTTTCTCCTTCGATGTTCCGGGTTGATCTCGAGATTCGGAGATGTCTGGGACAGGTTTGCCCTCAGTCCCATTCAGAGGGTCCCCAGTCAACCTTTTGCTCGATATTCCATAATCAGCTTCAAAATCATCCACTGACAATTTCTCACTCTGTTGTTCTGGGTTGACCATTGTCATCAAGTTTGAAAGTTCATACTTCTCGAAATGGCGAGGCGGATGAGGAAAACAGAAGAAGGTGTCTGTTGTTGCCTTGTCAAACATCACCTAAGTACGGAGAAATTCTCATTTGCACAGCACTATCTTTTCCATAGCATCCATAACCTCCAATCTCCTATGGGATGAAGAGACTGGTTTCCCGTCTGGTGACTCACCTTTCTGCAGGACTCTCACATGTTATGGGAGGCAGTGGGCTCGGCTTGCAACCCCAAAAGACGATCGGGGTCGAATTTCTAACTTGATGGCTCTTGTTTTCCATTCTCAGCTTGATGCGGAGTGAAAAGTGCTAATGTTACCCCACTTTGCAGTACCCCACCTCCACGTTTCACCCCTACCCCGCCACAGCCTTGGCATCGTCCCTGAAGTGACTCGCCTATTTTTTCAGGAAAAGTGGCGGAATGCCGACTCGAATAGTCCGAGTCAGTTTTACTTCTTAAATTCGTAAACGAAAACGGGCAAGACAACCAATTACCTGTTCGCTGTTTCCTCCTCTCGTTATTTCCAAACTTCAGCAAACGCCCCTCAACGAGGTCATTCACATGCTACAGGGTCTTGAATCAGCAGTTGGCCTCCATTCATTGGAAAACAGCAGGAATTCCACATGCTTGAAAGTGTTTATCGTTTCATGTTCAAGTCAAGTGCCTATGATTCAGTGTTAGCTCATTTGGTTGTCTTGTTCGTGGCATCTAGCGCAAGAATCACAATAACTGGGAAGTCTGTTCAGGCATCAACATTATTCAGATTTTCTATTCATTGTATATAGCTGCCACGCAACTCTCTGAATTCCCCTTTGTAAACAAATGGCAGAAGAAGATTTCGCAAAACTCTATTTGGTCTTTCCATTATACAATTAGTTCAAGAAATCCAACAGTCCAACAAAACTAGTATGTGTTCCCACGCAAGCATGGCTGCTTTGAAGTCAGAGATGGAAAATCACCAGCCTTCCAATATGTCCGAGAAACTTTCGGAGAAATCAAACGAACCATCAGTCATTCCTTCCTCAGAGCTTGAGTGCCTTCAACCCGGTTACAATCCAAAGAACCTCCAGAGGATTTTGCGCGAGGGAATCCTTCTTGCGACAGGTGGGACTGCAATCTTGTTGCAGATGGCCCACCCAGGCGTTGCCCAAGGTGTCGACGAGCACAGCAACTTTGCCTACCGTCCCAGCGATAGGCTTCGCACCACGATGACTTTCATGTACTGCATGGCATGGGGCACAATAGAGGAGAAACGTACGATTCTTGAGATGGTCCACAGAGCCCATGCTCCCGTCAACGGGCCAGGATACAACGCAAATGATCCGCATCTTCAACTCTGGGTTGCCTCTACATTGTTTGTCTGTGGGGTCCATATGCATCAGCTCATTTTCGGACAAATGGACCCTGCTGCGGAGGACACACTTTATCAAGAATACTCTGTCATGGCAACATCGCTACGGGTACCACCGGAATTGTGGCCAGAGAACCGCCAAGCATTCTGGAAGTACTGGGACGAGAACATCAAGGCGCTGCCTATCAGCTCACATGCAAAGAATGTGTCAAACGACTTGCTTTACAACAAAGCGGGTCCATGGTGGTTGAGAATCAATCTACCTATCGTTCGCTTGGTGACTGCAGAGCAACTTCCACCCAGGTTGAGAGACGAATATGGGCTCAAGGCACATCATAAGCGGTACAAGGCCGCTCTTGGGATCACACGGCCTATTTACCGCCTTCTGCCGGTATCACTTCGTCAATATCCGGTGAGGTACTATTTGAAGGATATGAGGAAGCGAATGGACAAGATGAAATTGGAGGGGAAGATATGAATTTGAATGGACTTGATTGTAAGAGTTCTACAGTTCATTACGACTTTGATGTTATTGTTTTTTTAACCGAAGGTAGACAGGGCCTGATAAACTGACGACGGCTTTTAGTAAATCCAGTTGCGGATGACTCTGATGGGTGGGAGAAGTTTAGGATTTGATTTTGTGACTGCCAAATTGTACAAACCTGATGTTAAATTTATGAATGCCATATAACACTCTTATCCTGATATTTCAAATTTTCAAAGAAATCATTTCGCTACTCTGAATATGTCTTTTGACCTATTGCTTCCTCTAATAAGACAATTCACAATGCCTACTGTGGTGGCACACTTCAATGCTTCAGAAACTTCGGCCTTAATCGTGTTTTTATGGCTAGTAAACCACTCGTTCTACATTAATGCATAAATAATTTGGAACACACGGCCCGAACATGCACTTCAAGACTACTCGAAGGAGTGTGGGTGAGCTGGTTGTAAGTCAACGAGGACCTGCGTCTCACAGGGGTTACACTACCGCAAGCATAGGTCTTGGCTCCATCCGTTGACATTCCGAACTGACACGAAAGAAATTCCACAAATTCGGTATCACATGCATATGTAAGAATTTCCTGCAGGCACAAAGTATCTCTTCTTGGTGCTGCACTCCGCTCTCCACTACTACCCCGCATTCCCGCGTTTTGACAGAATCCTTGCTTTCTGGCTGTCCGAATTCAAAGCATGCTCACATAGTGCTAAAAGTTCCTGGCACACCTGACATAAGATTGCCACAAGGCTCTACCTTGGCACCTTCACATCGAGAAGAATTCTGTTCTGACTTAAAGTCATCAGTTTTTTGTTTTACTTCTTCAACTAGCAGACAATTCAACTGCTGTCGAGATGTTTTTGAGCGCTCCATTGTTGCTGATTTTCTCAATCTTCAATCTGGCCAATGCACAGACTACATCTTTCGATATCGCCTCAGCATTAAGCGCAGCGTAAGTTTGTCAATCTCCCTTTCAAACCTCGAATCTCAAGCGTCCAAATAGATCCGCCCTCAAATCCAAGTACGGTACCGCAACAGCAATAACCACCTACTCCTTCGCGATCCCCGGCGGAAACCTTCCTCAACCACCGCCCTCCCTCATCGGGCCCATAATCACGGGGGTTCCCGTCTCCGTTCTCGTAGAGCTCGCACAACCTGCTCTGCGAAGCTCCATCGCCAGCGAGTTCAAGGCCGGCCACACACCGCAGTGGTATGAGACTTTACCCACGGCGGTCAAAAGCTACATTGAAAGTCTGCAGTCGTTTGTTGCGAATGGACAGTATGACCCCAGTGCTACGCAGCCGAGATATTCGTTCCCGGTTCCGACATCAACTGCTACGGTGGGGAATAATAATAAGGTCACGACTACGAAGTCCAAAGCTGCATCTCCGAGAGCTACAGGAGAGGTTGCATTGGGGTTTTCTGCTGCAGTAGGGCTCTTGGCTCTTGCGATAGCTCTTTGACCTGGATGTATCCATATTGCTTATACCGCCGGTGAGGGATCGGCGGGGGGATTGGACAGTGGAGGATTCCTCAATCATTGTTTTCTCGCGGTGGTGGGAAAATAAACACCAACTTGCTTGAAGATTTAATCCAAGAAAAATAGCTGTACCTTAAGTTTAAAGATGTAGTTTGAAAACTCAATATAAACTTTTGGCATACTTAGTTATTATGCCGCAGCCCTTCGCCCTCGATCCAAAGCCCAGTGAACTTTTCCAAAACCTCGCAGTCAATTTTTTTACAGCCTCGCGCTAGGCTATGACATCAATTAAAATGCTGACAATATCCTCTCGTATTCCTGGGGACTTGACAGGGGTGGGTTGCTCTGCCGTCAGGGGTTTTTTCAGGGGTTTCTCGCTTAACCTGCCGAGTCAACAAAACTGACTCGACGGCGTATAGAGGCTGAACAATAGTCATGTAGCACGCAATCGCTCCTTGTGATCCAAACAGCAGATAAACGGCACAAGCACATGTAATAGCCAATAAAAAATCGTCTTTTACTGAAACCTTGGAACTTATACGAAAATTCTACGACCGTTGGCGGGCTTGGCACAGGGAGTAATTCATTTCGCATGTTGTGCCTCGACTACAAGTTGAGAACCCACACAAGATGTTACCGTGCTGCTTCACGCATATGCGAAGCAGAGTTTAATTTGATCGGCACTATTGATTACCGGAAAAGAAACCTACTAGTTCAACAAGCAGAAGAGTGAAAAGGAATGCAGGGAATATTTGGGCCTTGGCCTTCTTTTTCAGATTTCATGACACGAGACTTCTGCTCTCATCGGACTCTTTGCTCACTGCCAAAGCCCTTGATCGGTGAACTGAGTCAACCAATCTGAATCGGCTTCGTATTCCATCATGATCATATCCCGTTCCTGCCCATGTTTGTGTAAAAGATCTGCTTCCATAGCTCCACCTGCCAGACGATACGGTTAGAAGTCCGAGTCAACTTACCAGCCTCTCCTTCAAGCAATGAACTACTTGCCTCGCATATGTACACTTATGGGAATGCTGGGTTACCCCGCACGGTAGCAATCTGGGGAAGCTAGGGTGAGCTTCAACCCTTAATTTTGATATAAACAGAGCAGTTCGTCAACCCATTTATGCAGCAGCAGTACCTTCTCCGTGAATTCCATTTTCACTTGAATCGTTTTAAATTTATCATTCAATCTTGATACTTCGCAGTACCACCATGCGTCTCTCCAATATACTTCCAGCGGCAGTGGTGGCAGCATTAACCTTGCCAGCAATGATCATGGCAAACCCCTCCCCGGCCGCCAGTATCATCGACGCTCGAGAGCTGCCCGACATCGAGCTCCGCTCACTCCACGAGCTTTTCGAACGTCAAGCAGTAAACACAACAGGATTGATCGGCCTCTTGACTTCCCTCACTCAATCACTAGCCGGAATCGAACAACTGCTCTCTCCAACTGGCATATCAAGCATCAATGAGGTTGTAACTGATCTCGCGACCTTGCTCAAGGCCCCAACGACAGACCAGACCAAGTCTCTGCTTGGCACAGTCAGCGATCTTCTTGGTGGCCCCGAAGTCTCGCAACTCATCAAAGGACTGCCGGCGATTTTGTCTTCAGTCAGCGGACTGTTGACTCCAGCCCTGGTCACCAATGTCACGGACATTCTTGCTGGTGCCCATGATCTTTTGACTCCGACGTTCGTGTCTCAGACCACGGGGCTGATTAATGATGTTGCACCTGTATGGTTTCCCTTCTTCCGACCTCGAGGAAAGTGTAGCTGACATTTTGTGAAGCTGGTCAATGCTATCTCGCAGGTCATTTCGGCGTTGCTTTCGGCTATTCTTTAGGACCGCCTGCTATATATTTGAGGAAATACTTGGGAGAAGGGGGAAGTTGAGGCAGAGGACGACTGGTTGGAGAGAGCCTATAAAATAAAGAACCTTTCGTGCAGAACGAGCTGAAATATTTATAATATAATTTGCAATTCACCTGAATTAGATGGCAAAGCAGTAAGATCTGCATGAGCTTTATAACGAGGCCAGGAATGATTCGGCCCTGGCTTGCGCGAAGAAAGAACAGAATTGAGGCTGAAACTGGTTCTCCGTGACAGAAAAACACTTGATCTGCCATAGATATCTACTCGTACCTGATATTCATGCCGTAGCATGCACAGGACGTATGTGGCTGCTCTTCTCATCTCCCTCGCGGAGAGGCACGCTGCACGTTTGGGTCGGAAATAGCGAGGAAGATTAGGGCAACTTTTAACGGGCTCCCTATATCCGTTGTGCTGCCAAAGCGCCAGGGTTTGTCTACCGATTTTGTCCTCCCTTTTAAACCTCAATAATTCGCCACACAATTATATAATATTCAGAAACCAAGAGTTCATAGGGGATATCCTCTTAAGCTATAAGAATACAAAGTTTGTTTTTATTTTCATAAAGGTTTAGCTACGTAGTCTAGATTGGCAATGTGAGACTTTCAATGTTCCTTTAATTTAAGCGAGACCCGGGCGCCAACGGATAACCCAGACCCTTTACGGATCGTACGACTGCTTCGGCCGGAAGTCTCGTTCCCACTAATGCGGCTGCACAGGGGAGCGGGAGGATGGACGGGAGGGATTCGGGGAAGGTGGCCACGGCTGGGAGCAAGCAACAGCTGCGGGGTAAGTTCCCAATGCTACCCCACATGTACGAGTACTGCACACGGGACCAGCCGAGGTCAATGCACAGGTTTCACTTCTCGACTCTAAGTCCTGCTAATTCCCATCTTCACCGACAAATTCCTGTATTTTAGATCTTGAACTCGACTGACTCTAACAAAAGAATTTCTCTGCCCCAAACCTTGAGAATGCCGGAGACGACAAGAACCAGCATCCGTCGAAAGGCGAAGAATCACGTGCCACCCGATGCTCTCCTTGAGAAAAAGAGAGCAACAGACCGCCAATCTCAGAGAGTGGTCCGTGAGCGAACGAAGAAATACATCGCGCATCTCGAGAATATGGTTGAAGTGCTGCAAAAGAACCAGCAGGATGAACGGCTTCAACTCGTCACAGATCGGTGCAACCGCTTGCTTGAGGAGAACGAACAGCTCAGACGCGCCATCCTCAGCATCAAAAGAGCTGTCCAAGGGGTAGAAGCTGAACAGCCGGATTCAGTAAATAATAAGTTTACTGAGACTCAGAACGCTCTAGCAAGATCAGAGACGAACAATCTGCCCGCTTACACCAGCCTTTCCTTCTCTGATGGCCAGGGCCAATCACCCACCCAGCAAATTTCGACGCCCGCATCCATGCCCATTGCTTTGCCTTTCAGCTCCGTTCCCTCTCTTCCAATTGGATCTTCAGATAGAGTATTCTCCCCTCCCTCTTCTGAGATCGAGGACCCACCACATGTATTCGTCGTCATAAGCAACCTCCTCCGCCAAGCCGAAACATGCATCATCCTCACCATAGATCTGGATAAAGATGTAGATATCGTTATCAGAGCTATTGCACACGGGTGGGCTCATGTCGAGCAACATTGCCAATTGGACCCTGCATGGCAAATACTGCGGCGGATTGACCAAGAGGTGATGTTTTGTTGTGGAGCCGTGGAGCGACTCGCAATACTGCGAGCTGTCAGGTTGAAACTCCTTCAGGTTTGTTTCTTTACTCAAGATACTACTCCAACAGTGATCAGATAGCTCACTATTTCAAAGCATAAAATTAGTGCGAGCGAGCGACAAGTTCAGGCACAGCTTCCTCAATATATGCATTCCAGGTATGCAGATGCAACTCTACCATCGCCGTTTTTCAACTATGTTGACACTTCATGATTTCACTAGACCTCTTCAAGCGGCAATGGACCACTTGAGTCTAATTGATTATTTTGTCTGGTGAATGCCCAACTACCTCTCGTTTCAAGAACGCAACGCATTCTGACTATCCAGGCCTGAGCTGCGAGAATACCTACTCCACAGCCCAAACATCGACCTATCGAACAAGACTGCTGCAACCTTTGCAACGTGCCTTCGATTCCTCTGGCCTTTCGAACTATCTGATGCCTGGATGCGAAATACGGAAACGGGGTTGTATTCCTTCTCGAAGTTGTTTGAGGAGAGTTTGAATGATGTTTCTAGTTGGGCCATGGCGACTGAGTTTTTCGAGTCGTATCCCCATTTGATGGGATATATTCCTTCTTATGACGCGGTAGAGGATAAAACATTCGGCTAGGAGGGCAAGAAAGGTAACCGGACGCCCAGGAACGACGGCAGAGACCATAGGCATTCTTCGATAGGACGAACACTCAATACTGGCACTCAAACTTCGCGTGGACACTGGTCAAATTCGACAAGCGCAAACCTCTCAGCATCAAGATTTTCAAGGTGGTGGGTCCGATTCAGGCTCCGCTGACCAGGAAAAAGTAAAACCGGAAAGAAAAGAAGGATGGCTAAGCGTTGAGGGCCTTCAAAATTGCAGCCGCGGGGTTTGCCTACCGTGCAGGCCAATCAGCAGCAGCGATTCGCTTGCAATAGGGAGGGCTTGCCATGCAGTAGATGCGGGATCTGCTGGACTTCTTGCCAGGGTATTTTGGGTTTGAGTTCTGTACAACTTGGAGACGAACATGAGTCTCGCCCACTCACGTCGCAGTTCATGTAGAGCGCAGAGGAGAAAAGCCATTTCGTTTCCCCGAGAAAAAGATTTTGAGAAATGTCGACCTCGAGGTACAATCCGGCGGAAAATTCTCCCCTGCGAGGAACGAGATCGTTGTCAAATATTTACTTATTGTCAACTTTCTGACCGTCAATCGTATTAAATAAATTATCCTATTCTTGTCAGCATCAAACCTCGTGGCAGTGGAGCCTCGCAATTACCCAACCGGTTTCTGATTCTCTGAGGGTCGGGGGAACTAAAATGAGGGCCTCTCTCCGGTAAACGACTTATGCCATGCCAGGCAAATTTGATGTAGATTGATGAGCTAACGAAACCGGAGGGCCAACGGTTCATGAGTGGTTGCAGCCTCTAGCAGTCTAATTTGAGTCAAGTTTGAGGAGTTGTTCTCTTCGTATACTTTGAGTCAGCTGGAGTTCTATGAGCCAGGATTCTATACTCTGGCAGGCTTCTGTTCCCTTACGCACGCGAGTAGTGTTTAATCGCTAAATTTTCAGGCTCTCATAGTGCCTTAAAAATTTCGACTTTCCTTACCTTCTTTAAATTTTCTTAAATTTTCTAATTATTATATAATAAAAACTTCATATCTTATTAGCTTATAATTTGGCTTTTTATAATATAAAAAAATAATTAAATTATAATAATTCTTTGTATAGTAAATTAAACTTAAAGGAAAACTAGATTTTTTTTGGTATTTCTTTACTCTTTAAACAGAACTAGTATCAATTGAGCTCCAGCTTATCTCTTGCAAGCTAGAGAAACAAAGAGATTGTCCACCCCGTTCTCCTCAAAATCTAGACCTTGAATCTTCCTGCTTTCCACACCACTAATTTTTTTCTCGTCTCAAATTCCCCGATAAAGAACCATCCAAGAAAAGAATTCGCTCATACAAACCCCGTAACCAGCCCAGTCGCAAGCAGCATCGCAATTCCCAATCCCACCACGCCTCCTCCATTTCTCGATGCCCCAGAATTGTATTTCTTCCCCATAGTAATACAATATCCATAAACCCCACTTTTCGTCCCACTGATACACTGCCCCCAAGCAGCTTCTTGGATAGTAGATGAGTTGCAGTACTGCAAACAGCCGTCATTGAACGTCGCGATTGGGACACTAGCGCCGCAACAATGCTCTAGAACGGTGGTTGCGGTGTTGTTGCCGTTTTAGTAGATCACACAGGCTGTTGCGGGTGGGGACGGTTCGGTGAGGAGGAAGGGAGGGGCGGAGATGTTGTTGTATGGGCCGCAGGTGTTGGGAAGGGCGGCCATTGTTTCGTAGTGTGTGTTTGGTGTGATGGAAGGGGAAATTAGTGAGAGGGTTTCAGTTTGGATGTTAGATGAGGTGAAGAGAGTCAAAACAGATTTTTATCGGTTGAGTGTTTGAATGAAGGGCTTGATTGAGGAGTGTTGATCAGAGACGGCTGATGGAGGAGGGTTAGAACACTGTCGATTGAAAAAGGTCGAGTAAAGAGAATCGATTGATAAGGGTGAATTGAAGAGGCTGTTTGAACGGGCTGCTTCAAGCGATTTAGAATGCAGAATCAAGATGGTGGCGTGAGATCATGTCGAAGAAAGGTTCTTATGTGACGTGAATTCGAAGTTGGATGTCTTCGTGCCGCACCGCAGTAATAGAACAAAACTTCCAGGGTCAACACCCCTTGCCGGTTTGCTGTATAACCAGCGTGTTGGCAAACATAGTCACTGCCCATCTATATCAATACCTGCATATGCATTATCTGAAACAAGGATGAGCATCCTCGTTTTACAGCCAACATGTTGGCACAAATAGCCACTCCAGCTACATCAATGACTGTGTATGCATTATTTGAAACAAAGATGCTGAACCCTAGGACTACTGTTCAAGATATTTTGTCCGGGGAATTCATTGGGGCTATGGAAGCAAGCGCTTGCTGGGTCAATGTCAGCGCTCTATGTGAAGGTTACACAGCATTCAAGGATCGGCCAAATTTCGCTACCCCCACGGCAGGTTCTTAGGCAGTAAAGGATCAGAATTGCTAAACGAGAAACTGCGAAGTGCCTAAATTTAAGCTGGACCTCGTCCTTCTTCAACCCACTTTCTGTGAAATGCAAATCAGGATTCAAATTTCCAGTCCTTTGCGACTCGCGCATAAGTGACACCCGGAACATCTTTGAACACATTCTCATAGACAGGAACCAAGCTCTGCGGATCTTCCGCTTGCTTCCAATAGCTCTCCCCCAGCTTTTCCAATCGCGGATCCTCCCACATCGTCTTCATCCAAGCCAGAGCCTCTGGCGTTGCGGCGTCAAGAGGGAGGTTGTAAGTCCGGAAACGCTTTCCTCAAATTAGTGAAAGCCTTTTGATACTCACACGCTATGGGAAGAAAACTAAACCTACCCACAAAACGGGCCAAAAGAACGAATCCGCAATCCCAAACTTCCCAAACAGAAACCCCTCATCTCCATCTTCCTTCCCAACCATCTTCAGCCTCTCAACCGTAAATCTCCTCGCATCACTCCACAATGTCAACATCCTCTCAATTTCCTTCTTCGCCTTCTCGTTGATGGGAATTGGTCCAGAATAGTGTCCAAGGAAGTTGCAGCCGTACGTATTTCTCATCTCCGTGAAGCCGGCATGCATTTCTGATACTGCTGAGCGAGCGAGAGCGCGGAGGTGGGCATCTTTGGGCCACAAGGGGAGATTGGGGTGTGACTCGGCGAGGTATTCGGCGATGGAAAGAGAGTCCGTTACAGTGAGTGGTGACTCGGGGAGGGTGGTGACGACCAGAGTGGGGACTAGGCCAGACGGAGAGTAGGGGAGCGCAGCGCCTTTGTTGACTGCGACATTTAGAGTGGTTGGGGTGTAAGGAATGGAGAAGTATACAAGGAGAGTCTCGATGCGGGCTGTCCAGCCTGTTTAGGGAATTAGAAATCTAGGATTGGTGAATTATAGAGTTGGGACCTCACTAGAATATCTTGTGTGAGCACCAATGAGCTGATAAATGACGCTTGAGGACTGTTCAGACATCTTGCTTGAAATGTTGACGAAAGGTTTGAAGCTCGAGGTAGGGGAAAATCAAAACCTTCCGAGGAGAGAGCGGTGTGAGTCAAGGGTGAGTACGGAGAAAACGCGGAAAAATCAGGCTGGGAGTCTAAAGCCTGAAAATATAATTTAGATTGAGAGAAAGGGACTTTAAAAAGACAATTGTGAGTCACTTGTCACCTCGGGGGGGTAAAGGGCGCGCCGGGGGAACTTTTGGCTGCATATCGGGCAAATCCTAGTCCGTTCCTTGGCGGGTACTGTTCAAACAGCAGCACAAAGTTTTGAAGTCAAGAATCCAATCTCTGTGTAACCATAAGTAAGCAAGGCCAGCTGTCTCCCACAAAGTTCTCTCAGACAGTGAATCATGGTGAAACTCGCTGGTTGGAGCTCAAAAGGAGTGTCACGTGACAGGCTCGTATTCGCTTCTCGACCTCGGATACTTTCCCAACCAACACATCTAACGCACAACCGCTGCAAGAATGGCGCAACCACAGCTCTCCTCATTATGCCGTGTTGGTATTTTGCGCCCGCGTTTGCGCTTTAACTTAGGCTACATTCCATATGGTATCCCGTGATGCCTTCCGATGGTTGTCATGATCGTCAAGAGCAGAGCTGAATCCACAGTGGACTTGCACGGTACGATTCGAAAGATTCGAATTATTTCGATGAGCATAAATATCGTACACGGAGAGCCTTTCCATCATCCCCTTCGAGAATAGTGATCTTCTGGATCTGGCGTGCTGCCAAGGGACTGTGCCAGAGATCATGGTGCCACTACTGCGCCTTCTACTTTTGGAAACAAAGCACCATCTAAGATCAAAGTGCTGTGCTCCTCCGATACATAGACACACCCTCTCTGAGGAAGCCCTCTCTCTTACTTTGGAAGTGTCACCACTTCGGGGCATGTGCTTACTGTCTCTCCCCTTCGAGAAGGCCAGCAGGTCACTGCAAGTTTCGGTATTCAGCTCGCAACTGCTCAAGCAACCATCAACGTCAGCACGAACGCCGCTCGCACCGAATTTTACGCAAGAGTGAGCAGGTATCAACTTCCGATGGCAGCCAAGCACTCAGACATACGTGCTTAGCATTCCTCCGAGCTGGTATTCTTCGCGACAGAAATCCTGCATATGCCCTATCGATATTTCATGCTGAGGTGGCAGATAACTGTACGATTCCTGGTATTCAAGGGGGAACAATCGAGCTTGCAAGGGGGCGCAGCAAAGTTCGATTTGGATCTCGGTCTGCACGCATGCGTCGACATATCTTACGGCTTTCGCTACTGGGGGCCTTTCTTTGTATCGATGAGGTTGAAGAATTTCTCCCGCTGTCGATGGGATCTGCATCTTGGACAATGGAGGCCGTACCAATGGCGCATTCTCTTGACTCCCTTGAGAGTGGAGGGGGTCTCTCAAAGCTGACACAGTCTGGAACTTGGGCAATGTTGGGCGTACCGGCGGCGGTGCGCCAATCAGAATGCTCTTCCGTCGAGAATGCTCGATTTTTGGTGCATTCGACCTTTTCAACACTGGTTGTTCCTCAGCTGGGATGGGCTTAGACTTCGACTCCAGTCGTGTCAGTTGTGGCTCCGCAACCAGAGGAGTTATGGCCACTTTACTTTCCGTCCCGTCATCAAGATTCTTCACAACTATTTCTTCCTCAATTGGGGCTGTGGTTTGAGGCTTCAGCTTTGATTCCCACCTCGCCAGCAGGGGTTGGTCAGTCAGCGGCGTTATCACAGATTTTTTCTCCACTGGAGGGTTTTCCTGTCCAATCTGAAATGTGCTCCTCCGCGCCAACTTGGAACTCTCTGGTTTTGAATCCAGCCTCGTCAACAAATCTTCTGGAAAAGTTGGACTTGAGACTGTGTGCGCCTTCTTCCTCGTCATCCCCCTGCTAGTCTCAGCAAGTCGAGAAACAGACTTCTTCTCTCCGGGTTGGCAGCTCGGGTCGCGACTTGAGAGCTTCCCATCTTTGTCGGACGCAAAGAATTCGTCGTTGGATCCGAGTGATACCTGCAGGGTACGAAGATCGCGTGTTTGGCCATCTGCAGGAAAGAGCCATCTGTTCAGACATTCTGGCAGCGCTTGGCATTCTGTAGTGAGAGAGTCAAAATCACATCCCACAGTATCACAAATTCTGGCAGAACGATCGACTAACTTTGATGAAACAAGCCATCATTATCCTCCCACGATATATAATAACGATCGAAAGCTCCGAATGCCACACAGATGACATTACGCACATGCTGTAACCCTTTCAGTGCTTCGAATCCATCTTTCGGTACAAGCTTGCTGGCCGTTGACTGTGGTGGATTTATGGAATCGTTGACTGGAGCGCTCTTCTCGACACTGCAAGATATTAGGACACGAATGAAGATAGACCTTGGTATTCTGACCTGCCTTTCTCCTTGTTTTCTTTCCATAACTTGGGAGAATCTAGCGAAGGGTCTCGTGAACTCAGAGGAGTACTTGTTTCTGAACCAGGCACGAATCCAGTTGATGTTCTGGAGAAGCTCGATATCCTCGTGAATGATTCTGGCAAGGAAGAATACGACGTTCGAATCGAGCTATCTGATGTTGAGGCAAACGAGCTTCGTGCAGATCCAGGATGCGAGTCGGTTGCTGAGGCGTAGGAATTCCTAGCTGGTTCGGAAAGGACCTCTGGTGAAGTGTCTAGCTTTGGTAGAGAATCCATTTTGATAGTTCCACAATAATCCTTTGACGGCGGCTTTGAATGATATGAAAGTTTATTTTCAAAGGTGTTGGGAATTAGATAGGTACATTGTCGGCGCTTGGCTGCGATCCCCAGAAGTTACCATGACTCCAAAACTACTCCAGCTCCCACGATATCGAAACTCGGCTGTCCGCACGGTGGTTCGATTCTGAGAGCAGCCTGCTTCTCGAATGATCTAGACACGATTCAATTGAACGTTGTCAGACCACCGTGTGAGGTTGCATTAATCCCCCGGAAATATGCAACATACGCGAACGTTGAAGTGTTTCGAAAGACATCCAATCTTGTTCATCACCCAAAACATTCTGTTTGAGACTCGTATGAGGTTTTTGATATCGAATGATGTTGGAAGGAGGCACGCGTGAGCGTTGTTTTGGTACTGTGGGGCTCTCCGTTCAAGTAAAGCTTGGCTGCTACAAACATTCTTCGACGCGTGCTGCCTTTACCTAAGGGGCATGCCTGCTCGGGTTTTACAGAGACTCATTCTTCCGGGCTTCTGGAAGTTGTCCCTTGAGTCTAAGAGTAGGGATTACCCCCAAAGCTTCCTATTAAACTTTGGATGCTTGCGAACATTTATGAGCCGACCGTGTGGAGCCGATTTCGTACCCGAGTTGGGTCGACCCCGAAAGCCAGACTAATTAACCTGAGATGAACGCACATGTTCATTGCCATTAACTTCAAGAGAATTATTGGAGGTCTGTCAATCGTTGAATTGGAAAAAGTTTTTTGTGTCCGGTTCACGCCAAGCGGCAGGAGAGACACGTTTCCGGGAGGGCTAAAATAGTGGCAGGGCATTCCACTATCTTCTCGCTTTTGCCTAAAGTCGCTTATCAGCTTTAGTAGTAAGATGGGGGTCTGTTTTCGAAGTCTCACCTAAGGACCATGTGCATTTGGCGTCTGCCCTTGCCCGGTTCCCCCGCACATTGGCCTCCAAGTGGCGAACCCCCCGCACTTCTTGGACGAAGCTTACTTCCACATTGGAGTATCATATCAAAAGCAAAAGCATATTTGCAATGTTGTCTTGAATTATTCGAGTATATAATGGCACATTTACTTTGGGTTGAAATCCGGGATCGCCTTCCATGACTTCGCAATTATGCACCATAAAACCTTGTTCTGCCCCTGTGCCTAAGACGTAACGAGTAAAGTAGAGGGGCCATGAAGATACGTGATAATAACAACGACGCTTCCGTGGTATCCTATCGGCTTGCAACATCGCGACGAGAACCAGTTGATTTACGAGTAAGGTTCAAGCACATCATCGCCAAACGAAGTTACGACTGTTCACCCATTCAGAAGCACGGAGCAGCTCGATCCTTGCACCAGAATACAGTAAAGAGAACCTTTGGGATCTCACCGCATTAACGAGGGTCCCCGTTCACTTTGCGCGGCCAATGAAACCCTGTTTCTCATGTCATTTGCTCGATTTCACAGTGGTATCTTGATCTTGTTCTCGCGTAAATTACTGGCTTCCTGATATTCCGTGCATTGTAGCCGAAGCGACGTGGATTTCAAAACCCATCGATTGCCTGAGCTTTTTGCTTTGTTTTCAGTGGCTTCGAGTTTACTTTGGATCTGGTAAACTGCTTTGTGTTTGGACGCAGAAGTACACGATACGAGGAGGGGAATTCCCACGCCTGTGGGCTTCAAATCGCCGAATAATCTCAAGTGCCGGGCACCCCTTGTATTCTGGCGCACCGGATGCAAATTCAGGCTCTCCTATTGGGTTCGCACCGACGCCTGAAGAAGCCAAAAATACCGATCTGCAGCCTCCCGCACCTTGTTCATGCTCGGCTTCAGTCCTGACTTGGCAGGTGCTACAACGATTCGAAAATTTGATCTTCCGCGTACACAGTTTTTCCATCCAAAATTTAACATTTACGACTCCCCGGGCTTCCAGAAGCGTTCATTCAGGGGTTGTATTGTCCTTGTAGAAAGGACAGCAGCTGAGCTGTCGAATTGGAATGTCGCGGGAGCACGTTTTGCGTCGTGGACACCAGCATCACCCTCCATGTCATCCCACTCTACCGGTAATTAGTATTAATTGCGTGCTTAATTGACAATTTCTCTATATGCAAGCACCATGGATGTATGGCTCGCTACTGCCGTCGTGCGGCGAAGGACCCGAGGGATAAGATGGCATACATTACCGTGGGTTTCCCATGGCAAGTTTTACCCCACAGCGAAACTCTCCGTCACGAGCAATGGCTTCCAGATTCGTCAAACGCTGGCTTCCAAAGCAGAACCAAGGCCAAGAAGGAGTCGACCCGAACACGGACCAAATTATACCTATTCCTCAGATTGATAGCCTTTTGAATCCCGACTCGAAAGAGGGGCTGCAGAATACTTCCGTCGAAGTCGGGGAAGAGAAGGTCGAACCGGGGAGTGGAACTTCCGCCGATGACAGCTCATCCGCCTTGGATGATGACGACCCTGCGATCAGAGACATTCCATCTAACGTTCGGCGGATTGTTAGTTTCGAAGATGATCCAACTTTACCAACTCTCACATTCCGGTATTTTGTTCTAACTCTACTCTTCGTCATACCTGGAGCTTTCCTTTCGCAAATGAGCCATTACCGTACCAACTATGCCCCATACTCCATATTTTTTGTTCAGATCTGTTCAAACTACCTTGGGCAATGGATGGCCGCAGTGTTACCACCTGTGCAGGTGAAAATCCCATTCACTGGACTTGGATTCAACCTCAACCCCGGACCCTTCAGTGTGAAGGAACATGTCTTGATCACCATATCGGCAGCTTCAGGCGCGACTTACAATCTTGCTTTTATGCCCGTTTCTATTGCGAGCCTTTTCTTCAACGAGACCATAAACCCTGCAATTGCTATCTTCTTCATGTGGTCAGTGGTGATCACTGGCTACTCATTCGCTGCAATTTCACGGCAATTTCTGCTTTACGATCCGCAATATCCATGGTTCCAAGCGTGAGTCCTGCATGCAGTCTGGAAACATTTGAGTGCATGTTAACATTTGTAGTCTTTGCCAAACAGCTCTGTTTGAAACGCAGAAAACCCAGAGAGAGCATCCATCGCCAACCTCAAGGAAACAGATGTATGTTTTCTTCGCCGTGCTCGGTGCAGTAATTCTGTGGCAATTCTTCCCCGAATATGTCTTTCCAATGTTAGGATCTCTGGCATTCCTTTGTTGGGTAGCTCCTCGAAACGCTACTGCAAACTTCATCGGAGCAGGATTCGGTGGCATGGGATTCATGAACCTGAGTCTCGATTGGGCCAACGTCTCAAGTCTTGGAAACAATGGAAGTCTGTTCCTAACGCCATACTGGACCCAGGTTCTCATATTCATGGCATTTGTTGTCAATTGCTGGATATTGCTTCCTTGGGCTAAGTGGGGTAACTTGGGTTCTTACAAGCATGGGTTGATGAGCAACGATGTCTTGATGGGTGAGTAATTACTACCTGTTCTGGCGATTCAAGAGCTAAATATGTACAGCAAACGGGACGCAATATCCTCTGACAGAGTTGCTAACGCCACAATCAACTCTCAATGAGACGGCATATGCTGAACTTGGGCCATTATATTTAGGTACGCAGATGCTCTGGGGCATGTTCTTCGATTATGCTTCATACACATCTGCAGTAGCCTGGGTGGGTCTCTTTGCCTACCCAACAATCAAGGCGACTATTATCAAGATCCGAGCACGAAATGAGAATGCAAACGGAGAGAGCATCAACTACCAGTACAACGACCAGCTCAACATCCTGATGCGTGCATACAAAGAGGTCCCGGTATGGTGGTATATTGCTCTATTTTCCACCTCCTTCGTTGCAATCACGTCCATGGTAGCAAGCGGACATCTCTACATTCCATACTGGACGTACTTGATTGCTCTCGCTACTGGAGCTATCATGGTAACACCTTTGGGTTGGCTCTACGCTCTTTCCAATTACCAGCTTCCCATCGGCACCACCAACGAACTCCTCTACGGCCTGATGATCAACTCCATCAGCGGACACAAGAATCCCACCGGAGCCACAATCTATAGTTCCATTGCTGGTGACGCGTGGTATCGAGCTCAGACCATGCTACAGGACCAGAAGATTGGCCATTACATGCACATCCCCCCACGAGCAACCTTCTTCTCTCAAGTGTTCGGTGCCTCGATCGGTATCCCGATTAATTACGCCGTGGTACGCTGGGTTATCAGCACAAAGAGGGACTACTTGACTGGTGCCGCAACAGACCCTTCACATCAATGGACTGGGCAACCTGTCATCAGTTCACTCTCCACATCCGTGCAATACGTCCTGGTCGTAAGTTACCTCGACCTCTGCGAAACCACCCCTACTAACGGAAATGATTCAGGGCCCCCGCAGACTCTTCCAGGAACCCCTCTTCCACGTGCTTCCCTACGGCTTCCTCGCCGGCCTCCTCGTCCCCGTCATTGTCTTCCTCCTGCACCGCACCTTCCCCTCCTCAAAACTCAAGTTCCACCTCTGGAACACCACGATCTTCTTCTCCTCCCTCGCGAACTTCTACGGAAACATCTCTTCCGGCTACCTATCGCAATTTATAGGGTCTTTTGTGGTCATGTATTGGGCGTTTAGGTACAGATATCAGTTGTGGGCGAGGTATAATTATATCCTGGCGGCAGCGTTTGATGCCGGGTTTAATTTCAACATGTTGTTGATCTTTTTGTTCTTTGGGAGTGGCAAGGTCACGCCAATGCCGAATTGGTGGGGAAATGATGCCACAAGCTCGGAGAGATGTTTTGCTCTTGAGTAAGAGGTGGAGGTGGTGTCTGGGTCACATGTCACTCTGATCAAGTTTATTATCAAGATTCAACACAATCTTCACTTCATCTAAACGAAGCTTGTTTCGCTTCAAGACCCTATTATCTCTGCGTATATCAGGTTTTGAAACTCCGATTTCATGTTGGTTTGTTTTTTTTTGGCCGGGAGGGTGATTGTTAGGACCGCATGTCCCCCAACGGCCGTCCCCTCCGAACCCTCTTCTCCCACCTCACTAACTCTACCTCGAGAACTCTCGCCTTCCCTAACTTCTTCTCCAACCCATCATCATCGACATCGAAATACAGCTTCCACATGTCCGCTTCTTCTCCCTCATAGCATTTTACCGCGCAGAAGCCTTCCCATCGATCGAATGTGAGACGCCGGTCTTGGCGTGTGCAGTCGAAGGGCCCGGTTAGGTTTGGTTGCGCGTCGGCCCGCACGCCGTATTTCACTTCGTAGGTGGAGCGGTCGATGTAGATCCAGTTCATGACTGGCGCTTCGTCGGTTATGGTGCTTACGAGCCCTTCGTAGGGAGGCGTGGTGTCCGGGTAAGGGAGGAAGTAGCCTGCGAAGGGGTGGAGGGAGGTATCTGTTGGGTCTGCTTTGATGTAAACCTTGAGTTTGAGTTTAAACTTAAGATCAATACCCTGGGGGAATGGGGGACGGAGGTACTTTGTTATTCTTGAGAGCCACTTGTCGGTGGTCGATTTCGAAGCTTCGCGATGAAGGCGCCACGCAGCTGATGATTAGATTTGAACGGCGGGCGCGGTGCTCCTCGCGGCGATCCTTGGTTTGTCCTTGTCGGATTGCTTCGTTCGTTGCCAGCAAAGCGGGCGCGGTGAGGAGGGCGAGGAGCATGGATGTCATTGAGGAAATACTCTCTCGAATTCTTTTCTTGGAATAAGAAAGATATGGAACGATTTATTATCAGTAAAATCCAACAACAAAAATGAGATGGCGAATGGAGAATGTTTTGCATCGATGCTGAATACTGAATATGTGTGCAATTGCTGACGGATTCTTGATCATGGATGAAGCCCGTTAGTCCTTCTATTCCCCACCGAGATATTCATGTGGGGAGGAAAAGTAAGGCCATGTTATAGATCGACACAAGGATCACGTCTCACACATCTAGAAACATCGAGTGGGGTGAAAAAGTAGCCTTACATCTGACACACAATGTTTTCCCAGGTTTCGCAGGATTTTCGAAGAAAAACCATAAGGCCATTTCTGATACACCCAGTAAGCGGGTTCGAGGAATAATCGTCCCATGTTGTGGATGCTGATGATACTGAAAGGTCCGTGGGATGTGTTGCACGATCGGCCAACTCCAAGGTTGCGCCTTGAGGCTTATCGTACCATTCGCACTTACTGAAGGGGGAGCCGGGTTGAGGAGGGGAAAGGATGGGGACGAGAGTGACAACTGACACATCTAACGCCTGCCCTGTGTTTTATGGAAGCCTTTTAGCGCGGACGTGGCCGTTGGGGGATACTTCGTCTGATATGCCATTCCCAACTGGCTAGAATGAATGAGGAGGAAAATGCGAAGGTATAAAGCTTGAGCGTTCCGCGACAAGAAGGAAGTATCTCTTCATCCCATCGATATCAAGTTAGATCCTCCAGGCGAGATCTCCTTCCAGTTCCATTTCTTTTTTTGTGCGAATAGATAGATCATCACCTGGCCACTTAACATCTCTCCTTCTTCTCTCCATTCAGATCTCATTCCTCCTCAACCTGAACGTCCCCGAAAAGTAGTCAAGACGGAACTAGCTACTCCCCCGAAAAAGAACAAGGGAAAGATAAACATGTCTTCCACGTAAGTTTCCCCACCAGTCCACGATCGTGTGGAGAGAACCTGAGTAGTGTCGTTTTGAAGCGCAGCGTACAATACGACGGCAGGAGGAGCGGCTTACTCCCCTAGCGATGACACCCGATCGAAGGGACTCACGACGAACTTCGCGTCCAGTCTGCCGAAACTGCCGACGAGTGATGGGCTGAGGGCTCCTGCTGGTAAGTCGCTTCCCGTTTTGTATTCTTGACCTTGCCTGTGACCCAAGCTGACAAGCCGAATTCAGGACAACTCCTCAAAGGCGCAACGGACGCAGAAGGGAAATTGACGGCGGCAGCGCTGATGGTTGGCATCAAGCTTGATCTGGAAGCGGAGGTGCATCTCACGGCGAGAGTGAGGGGTGATATTATTGTCGGGTTGTATTAGCTTGATGTTGAATTTTGTCCGTGCTGGACGCGGATGTGAAGACTGTTGTTGACGGACTGGAGGAAAAATACCATGTCGAGGAGGAAGAGGGGGAAGATAGGTGGGGATGTGAAGAAGAGCGTACAGTGGATGGAGCTAGACATGGCTTCATTCTGAAAAATCACAACGGGTTCATATCTTCGCAAATGGGTCTCCTGTGACGTGTCATGCTCGTGACTTGACTTGATGGGCCTCGTACTCCTCACTAAACTGCGTCTTGCATATAGTTGAACAGCAGGAAGAAAATGTGCAATGTCGGAAATGACTTTGCTTGGGTACTTCCCGGGGCGGACTGCTCAACATCGAAATCTTTTGGAATGCCGTATCCAGTCTTGATAGCTGTCCCACGGGACTGATAGGGTCTGATGGCTGGATTTGTGTCCAGGATATGTCCAATGACTTCCGCAATCAAGCATTCGACAGAAGCGGACAGGCACAAATCCACTTTCCCTCTTCCAGCTCCTCGAGGACCCACTTCACCAACCGTCCCCTATCAAGCCTCAACCCATCCCTCCCCTTCTTATCCCCCACATATACCGCATTAACCGGCCCGTCATTCTCTCCCAGCTCCTTGCCCTGCAACAACGGCACCCGGAACACGGTCCAGTCGATCTTCTCCCCGAGAGCTACCGTCTCTTCAGCCATGCCCTTGATCTCTAGGTACGTGTCGCCGCCGATGACTTTAATGTAGAAGTTGATGGCGAAGATCCATTTTATTGAGTGGGTGTCTTCGGCCGCGGAGTACGAGGGGGTCGAGAGGACCAGGATGCGTTTCGTAGTGCCGTTGGTGAGGAGGAGGGGGTAGAGGGTTCGGAGGGCTTCGGTGATGGGCTACGATTTCCATCAGTCCTTTTTTCTTACCCTGGAAATTCTTGGGGGACGTACAGTTCCTTCTCTCTTCCCTAACGTTGGTCCAGCCAATGAGATGAAGATGTCAGCTCCACAAGCAGCAGCTTTCTTCAGGCCTTCTGCATCTTGTAGCTCGCCTTGGATGACGGAGACATTGGCGTTCGAGGAGAGGTCCTCGGGGATCTTTGAGGGTGTGCGAACGTAGAGAGTGAGTTTGTGGCCTGCTTCGAGGGCCGCGCGTGTGAAGATGGTGCCGCAGATGCCAGTGCCTCCTAGCAGAAGAATGTGATGCTTCGTGATCCTATCCATGCTTTGGTAACGACGGTGTTGCATTCGAAAAATGGAGCCACTCGAACGAGTGATCGTGGGATATTTCTAGGGCATCACCCTGCTGGGACATTCAGTCTTGTACCACCCCAAATTCGCAGTTGAATGAGCACTTCCCGTTTCAGGATGGATGAAGTCATTCTGCTGCAAACCCAAACTCGAAGAAGACAGACGCGCGGCTGGCGGCTAGTCGTCTCTGTGAAGCTTTTTCCCGCTAAGCTTATCTTGCGGCGCAGATCCTGTTGTGCATGCGACAGTCGACCTATCACACCGAAGTGATATAAGACAGGGCTCACTTGACCACCACCCATTACTCAGATGTCTTAAGTCATCTCACGACCTCCTTCTTCCTTCCTTCTTTCCATAATAAAGACAACAGCGTCGACATGTCTGCAGCAGTATTCTTTGGGCTGAGGGCCTTATCGCAAACCCTGACGGCCCAGGAGGCCTTATCTGGAGTCTTTGGCAGCATCAGTCTTGCGACGTGGATTTTTTTGTTGGTAAGGATTCGTACCGATGCGGCGTGGTTTTGAGGATATACTGGCTTGAAGGGAGAGGCTGATATATCACAGGTCCCGCAACTCATTCTCAACTACAAGACTGGGAGTGCTGATGGCATTTCCCTTGCCTTCCTGCTCGTGTGGTTGATTGGGGATATCACCAACCTTTCTGGTAAGACCCGGTCTTGGGTGAAGATCAGACCATCAGTGGCCTCCTTCGAGTAGTGGTGGAGCTTATCATCACCATTATCTCCTCATCCGCATCTTCCTTTCATTCTGGTCACGTGTGTATATTGACTCTTCCAGGTGCTGTTTGGGCTGATCTCGTGCCAACCGTGATCGCTCTGGCCATTTACTTCTGCATCGCAGACTTCGTGCTCATTAGCCAATGTCTATATTATAACCACATCAACGCTCGCTCTCGGAGACAACTCTCAGTTGTCTCCACCACATCTGAAGAGGAACCACTCCTCACCCGCCGCCGGAGCAGCGACACCATTGGTCTCCCCGGCTCTCATAGACGCCGCTCCTCTGCTCGAAGCGGGAGACGTGATTCTCTGTCGAAGATCTTCGAGGAAGATGATTCTCCTAACGCAAATCCGTGGTTCAGGAATACACTCTCTGTTTTAGCGGTTGTTGCTGTTGGCACAGCCGGCTGGGCTATTGCATGGCAGTCTGGTGTCTGGATTCCTACGCCCGAGGATGGGGATGTCCCTGAGGCTGTGCAAGCAGCTGTTGGAGCTAAGATCCTGGGTTATGCGAGTGCGATTTGCTATCTTGGGTGAGTCCTCCTTCTCACGTGACCTCCATCTTCTTCTAACATGACTTGATACAGTGCACGAATCCCTCAGATCGTGAAGAACTATAGAGATAAATCCTGCGAAGGACTCGCTCTGCTCTTTTTCTTACTCTCTTTGATGGGAAATTTAACATATGGGGCGAGTATCCTCAGCCATTCGCTTGAGAGGGATTATCTGAACACGAATCTGCCGTGGTTGATTGGGAGTTTGGGGACGATGGTTGAGGATGCGATTATCTTTGTCCAGTTCAGGATGTATGCTCCAAAGCCTACGACCTCAGCTGTTGAGTAATTGCTGGGATGGATGAGAAGATATCTTCAGGAGGGGAGAGGTGTATGATAATGATGGCATCATGGGAGTATTTGGGTTATGTACTTGTATTCAATCCCATTTGGGGAAGCAAGGGCTGCATTCAAGAGGTTTAAGGAGGGGACTAATGATTACTTAAATGGAAATAACTCGTGATTTAGTGTATTCATGATGTTGATAGACACTTAAAACTCATCTCGGCTGGTATGAGAATTGTGAATTACTCTTAAATGTCCCAAATCAACTCGGACAATCCAGAAACTCCCACACTCACAGAAAACCAATGTCCCAAATCTCTTAGAACATTAAACCCAAAGTTCAGATTCCTCCCACTATCCCCAACCCCTGAATGTCCAGCAGCTGCGAGATCGACGAAACCCTCGTGGTGATCCCAGCTTGTACGACACTGCTGCCGCTGCCATGCAACCTGCTGTGTTCCCGTGATGCACACACAGGTAGACGCCTCCCCACCTCCTCACATTTCTCGTGATGGAAGGGAGCCATGTCCGGAGATGAAGACAATATACTGAGTCCTCGGCTGTGGTTGCATTGCCGTCAAATCAGAGGCCAATTCCGCAGGCCAATGATCTGACCCAATCATCCCGGGCGAACCCACAAGCGGGCCCTCCCACCAGCCAAATGCGAGCAAGGGAGTTCGCGCAGGATTTTTATTTCGTGGGCGACCGGCGCAGAGACAGCCGAGCGAAGAAACGCCGGCTGCTGGCCGGCCTGCATCGTCAACACCCTCCGCCAACGCCAGCTTCCACATCTCACCTCCCCTATCCCCAACCACCATCTCCTTTCCCAAAGGCCATCGGCATACTCCTCTTCCCTGTATGCCTCACCCTTTGCTGGCTTGATCGGATGTCTTCAGCTTCTTCTTCGTTGCCTTGCTGCGTTATGTCACTCCTTTAATTCGCACCGAAATAACTTTAATTTTCCTTGCTGGGAGGCCTCATCGAACGCGTCGCGACACCCCCGATAATTCCACCTCCTTCCGACCATCGCCAACCATCGAGGCCCGAGAAACAGTTAGCCTTGCCATCGACATCTAGAGACTCAGCAGCAGACGACTCGAGCTTCGTCTGCGCTGGTCTCGTTCCGGTGCGTGCTGCAGTGCCAACGTGAATCCCACACTGCCCCGGCTGACGCGCCACGACGCAGTAGATATTCAAACAACGTCTTCATTGCCCTCATCGCCTCCTCCTGCCGCGACGGCAGAGGACGGACCTGGCAACATCTCACTTCAACGCGCCGAGCAGCCTGGGTCGCCTGCCTTCTCGACGACCTCGACTGCAGACGAAGGAGGCTCATCCCCTATTCTCCCACCGCTTCCAGCACCGACTTTCAACGGGCGGACGCTCGATCTCCTGAAGACTCCTCCGTCGGTCTCGGCTCCTCGAAGCGTGCAAAGCGACACAAGCCACTACTACACTGCAAGCTGGGGCTCTCCATACCAGCAGCCAGCCACCGGCACAACGCAACCACGTTCGCACAGCCACAGCCTCACATTGAGCAGTGAACCGTCGGACGATTCCCCTATCCGCCATCTCGAATTCCATACCCCCTATTTGCGCCCAGCTCCCAATTTCGTCCCGGCTACCACTGATCTGGACTTCGTCTCCCACGACGGCCTCATCAGCGCCGCAGTCCTCGCGAACCGAGCGCGTCGACCACCCACCGGCTTGACAGAGGATTGGATCCGCCAACACACAGGAGGCGAGTCTGCAGAGAGGAATCATTGGTTGAGCGACGACGAACCCGGGGATAGTGAGCACTCTTCACTGAGCGGATCCATCTCAGGAGACAGCAGAGATTGGGCATTACCAGACGCCGACCCTCGCACGCCAACACTCCAGCGATTTCTGGAATCGAGACAAAAGACGCGCTCTGAGAGGAAAACACATCGACGGGGCCCGAGTACCGAGACCTTGAAGCAGGTGGATTTCTCGAGTTTTGTGCGTGAGAATATGGCAGCTGTCAATGAAAACGAGCCCGAAGTGGAAATGGGAGAAATACAATCGTCTCCTGTAAAGGACCCCCCGCCAACACCACCGCCGAAGGAGTTGCCAGCATGGCGCGCGGCGTCTTTACCTGCGTTCGTGGAGGCGCCTCATGTTCCTACACCAGCTCCTGATCCGCCGCGCCTGAAGAAGAAGATACCATGGAAAGGCAAAAATATCATGGTTCTGCTACCATGGGACGATGAGCGTGGCCGTTCTGGCCACGCTCCCACGCCTATGAATCAGAGAGAGGTGGATGCCATGGTCAAAGAATGGGTGCAGTTTGGCTACGATACATCTGGCTTTAATTTGGGACCAACTGAGCCAAATGCTGAAGAGGGAAGCCAGGGACAGAGCAGAGGCATTTGGCCGTATGACCAGGATGTGCTGACTGAAAGAGTGCAAAGATCTTTCCGGGTTAACATACCTGATCGAAGAGGTGAGTTTACTATTTTCTTTTCAGAGTGCCGAAAGCATGATTGTTTTTCTCGGAAGACGTTTTGTTGGATTACATTCCTCCGCTCGTGTCAAGACGGATCTTATCCCCCTGCATGCTTATCGACGGAGGCGTAAAACCTTCTATTGACACATCTGCCTGGAGATATTCCTGAACTTTTACCATCTATCTGCCATATATTACCTCTTTATCCTACCTTATAACTTGCGGTACTAATGGAGTCGATCGATTCAGAATGGGAGGCATACGTCGAAGAACTGAGGGAAGCTAAACTCCGTGCCCTCGGAGTCTCCCTCGGGGACCAGGATCCCGCTCCAACCATCTCGCCGGCTGTATCGAATGTCAGTCGACGCACTTCGATGCAATACCCACCATTGCCCTTCTCTCCGCCACTGCCAACTTCTTCGGCGGCGAGCAGCCATATCACACATCATCCAAATTCCTTCTCGCCAGCTCTACTGCCTGGTGCAGGATTATCGACAAGCCAAAGCTCAAACCCAGGCTCTGTGGCATCGCCAGCCTCAATGCACGCACAGACCCATGGGAAGTACAACCCAAGAGCATCCGTTTCTTTCTCTGGGAGTGAGCACCCATTTGGGTCTCCCTTCCAGTATCCCCAACAACCGTCACCAACTGTCTGGTCACCACAGCAAGTGTTGTATCAACAGGGCGTTCCTAGGGGCGGCTCCCCGTCCCTGCAAAACCTTGGCGCTATTGTGTCGCCTGCTTCGCCATTCCCACAAGATGGCTACTTCCCACAAAATGGCGATGTTGTGTCGCAGATGCAGCAACGACAACAATTTTTGCAAACCCAACTTGCTCATCAGCAACAACTTCAATTGCAAGCTGGGGCCAGAGCTTCCCCCAGACTGCAGGAGGTTCGAGAAATTGAGGACGAGGATGCTCCCTCGAAGAGTCCATCGAAAACACCGGAGGCGAGACAAATTCGTCACAATCCCAGTGCAAGCTTGCAGAAGGAAATCGATGATGCTGAGTATCACTTGGAAGAACAATTCCAGCGCCAACTTGAGCATGAGGATTATAGTCCTCACTCTGACAAAGAAGGGGACCATTTCGAGCAGAAGCCGGCCGCTGACCGTGCTCGAAATACATCTTCTGTCCAGCAAGGTCTTGGCGCCTCTCGCTACGCTACTGATGAATCTGAAGAAGGGCCAGTTCTTCACCATCCTCAACCGCATAGCAGAGGTCATTCATTGTCCCAGCGACCATTCCATGATAGCGAGGAGAGTGCCGCTGAGTCTAAATCTGAGTTGCTAGGAATCGATGGTGCTAAGGCTGAAGTTTCTGATATCGAGACAAATCCAAGCAACATGGGCACACCAGTTCAAATCAGCGACCTGTCCGCCAACGGCCACGATCGTTCTCTCTCAGCCGTAAGCAATCCTTGGGTTAACTCTGAAGCAAATCACACCGAGGACAGCACCGCATCACGTCTTGGGCATGGGCCTAAGGCCTCTATCTCCAAACTTAACGTCGCTGCGAAGGAGTTCAAGTTCGATCCTACGAGCGCATTCAAGCCCGGTCAATTTTCTTTCAACGGGAACAATTTCCAGCCCCCGATTGGAGCTTACTCGGCGTTTACACCACCCGTTCCTGTGTCTGCAGCCTCCAGCCACTTCAGCAGCAACTCGATGACCAGTTCGAAAGGCAAGATCAATGTTGCTGCACCTGCCTTCACGCCTGGCCAGAGCGAATTCAGTTTCTCTGCCTCTGGACCCTCGTTCAGACCAGATGCACCCGCTTTCACGCCTCAGACCAGCTTCAACCAGTCAGTTGGAAGCGCGACCTCTGAAAGTGAAGGCCCGCGCACCTCTATCTTTGGGAGCATTGATCTCAGTATTCTTGGAATTTCACGGCCTAGCAAGAAGTCTAAGGCTATTCCCATCGTTCGCCCTGATAGTAGCCATTCCAAGAATCTTGACGAGGATGTGGAGGATAAAGATGGCCGTATTACCCAGGGTGAAGGCCGGATCAAGAGAGCCCGTGGCGAGAAAGACGACGGTGACTCCGTGGCTCTGTTTGCTGAACCCGGCATGCCGCTTGGCGAGACAACTCGGGAACAGTCGCCTCCCAAGGAGAACTTGGTTGTGGTTACTTCGCCAACCAATAAAGAGAATTCAGCACCCCTTAGTGGTGAGGAGGGGACTCCAGAGATTCCTGCCAAGTCACATGCTCGAAGCTTTTCTCAAGACTCTCCAGAGGCGCCCAACAATGATTGGGAGCCTTGGGAGTTCCAGCAAAAGAAGCACGCCGAAGATTTCAGCACAGCAATCCCGTTCACATCTCGAAGATATGGATCTGGTCTTCCTGCTTATGGCTTTCCCACCCAGTCTTCGGATGAGAAAGCTTCACCCACTACAGAGGAGGCTCCAAGACCCAAGGGTCACAGAAAGAATACGTCTTCATTGTCAGCTACTGCTAAGCCTTTTGAATTCAGGCCTAGTGCCTTTACCTTCACATTCGGACAGCCATCCGAGTCAACACCAGCACCAGTGGCTCCGCCCTCCCTTCCTACTGGCGGTGGTCTTTCTGCTTCTCGATTTGCTAAGAGCCCAACACCCCCATCAGAAGACGAGACTCCAGAAGTCACTCAGCAGCCCCATGAGTCTGTCGAGTCCCAAGCCGCTTTGCCAGAACCGCAAACCCCCCCTAAATACGAAGAATCTGACACGCCTGTCTCTGCTGCATCACCAGCTGCAGATCCCCTCAAAGTGCCTTACGAGGACATTGATGACGTAATGCAACATATCGATGCCGCTGATCGTGCATATGTTCCAGATATTCCGAGATTTCATCAACCCAGTCCGGCCAAATCGTTCCATATCCCTGATATGGATACTTCATCACCCATCAGACTGGCACCGCAGAATCTTATGCGCAGCGATGCTCCTAGTCCAAGTCCGAGACGGTATAATGGACCCCCTGGAGAGCCGAGAATGTTTGGCGGTGTTCAGGATGATGTGTTCACCATTCCGTTCAGTGGTGAACCAACTTTGCCATCATTTGAGTCGCCAATTCATAATCTCAATACCATCGACAGCCAACCTCCCAGCGAATGGGATGATGTTCTCAGCCAAACGGAGGAAGATAAGCTTCACCCACGAGCCCAGTTCTTTGACAACCATGTCAATGACCTTGTTGGCGGCCTTCTTTCCGAGCGTCTCGATCCCCTCGAGAAGGTTTTGGAGACCATCCAGATGTCACTGGAGATGATGGCCGCTCGCGCACCATCTAGCAGAAGGGAGAGACGAAGCATTTCCGGTGCTCTGAGTGATGCCGATGATGAAGACGATGACAACGATGTCCCTCGACGATCTCTCAGCCCAAGACGCGACAAGAAGATGGAGAAGATCAGAGCCATTGTTACTGAGGCTCTGGCTGCTCACCAACAATCGAGACCAGCAACCGCGAAAGAGCTACCGCCGCCTCCCGTCCTTCCAGACTCGCGAAATATTCTGCAGGCATTGGAGGAGATGAAGGAGCAATTCGGTCAATCTATGCGTCTTGATCTTCGTGGCGAGGATCTTAGGAATATCGTCGAGGAGGCAGTGGAGAGACGTATGCCAGCTTCGCCAAAGCCAATGGTCGACGAAGCTGCTATTGCTAGAGAAGCCGAGCACAAAGCTCGGATCTCTGATCTCGAGGAGCGACTCCTCCAAATGGTGCCTGCCTCACCAAAGCCTATTGTTGACGAAGCTGCCGTTGCCAGAGAGGTTGAGCAGAAGGCTCGAATTGCTGATCTGGAAGAGCGGCTCCTCCGAGCTGAAGCAGATAATACTGGACGCATCGCTGATCTTGAAGAGAAGCTTGAGCGCGTAGAGAATAAGACGGAAGAGGAAATCATCAACCGACGAGCGGCTGAGGATCGTTTAGCTGAGGTTCAAAGACTGTTGCGTATCTCATCTGAAGAGGAGGTCCGCCTCCGTGAAGCTATGGATGAGAGAGAGCTGAAGATCCGTGAGATTGTCGACCAGAGCGATCACAAGGTTAGAACCGTCGAGGAACAACGTGCCAAAACGACCATGCGAATTGCTCTCCTGGAGGCCGCACAAGACAATGCGCAGCGAACCCAATCAGAGATGCAAAACCGGATAGCCATTACGGAAGGCGACCTGCGTGATTCCCGACAGGAGGTCCAGCGTTGGCAGATCGAGGCCGAAAGGGCACTGGAAGCAGCCAAGAGACACAGCGAGGACGCGGAGCAGGCCAATGAGACGAACAAGGACTTGAGGCGGACCATCGAAAGCTTGAGGACTCAGATGGAGGAAAGTATCCGAGTCCGCGAGGGTATGAGAGGGAAATTAATGGATTTGCAGGAGGACATGGCCCGTGCTGCCCGTGACATTTCCGAAGAGAACGCCCGCCGCGCCAAGAAGGAGCAGGAGCTCATTGCCCGACAAGAGGTGCTCGATGCCAAGCTCCAGGCTGAAGCCAGAACAAGGGAACGACTCGAAACTGAGATTGAGAGGCTCGAGGCTGGTGAGAGGGAGGGCATGAGGGCTGTCAGTGATTGCAAGAAATTGGAGGCTTTGGTTGCTGAGCTTAGGTTGGAAAACCATAATTCTCAGAAGGACGCTATGCGCTACCAACGTGAGTTCGAGGAAGCCAGAGAGTCTGGCTTGAGTGAAGTGCAGCGGACGAGGCATTACATGCAAGCTGAGATTGAAGCAGCCAACAACCAGGTCAACGTCGTGCGTGAGGATCTCGAGAATCAACTCTCGAGACTGCGTGGAGAGGTTGACCATGTCAAGCTTGATGCAGACACGGCACGGGCAAAGACTGAGATGCTCCTCGAAGAAGCTGAGACGTCCAGGACGGCTATAATAAACGCTCTCAAGAACAAGCATGCGGATGAAATTGAGGATATTCAAGTTCAGCACGAACGGCAACTCACCAATGCTATCGAAGATGCTCAGCGGTCAGAACAGCATCTTCTTGAGCGTCTATCTTTATCTTCGGCCAAGACTGAACACCTCCAAGACCGAGTCTCGCATCTCGAAGAGAAACTGGAGATTGCCAACGAAGCCGCCAACGCTGCAGCAGTTGCGGCGAAGACAGCTCGCTCAGCAAGCACCTCATCCCAACTGGCCCACGCACCAATCAGCAAGGCCGTCTCCCGTGCCATGGAGCTACCCGAGAAGATCTCGCCGCAAGCACTCCGCGAAAGTATCATGGTCCTCCAAGAACAGCTCCAAGAGCGTGAATCCGCCATCGAGAATCTGGAAGCTACCCTCTCAACCCTGGATGTCGACGCACCAGTCAAGATCCAGAAGCGTGATGATGAGATCAGCTGGTTGCGTGAACTTCTGGCTGTACGCAAAGGTGATCTGCAGGACATCGTAGAGAGTCTTGAGGGCGAGGAGTATGATGGCGAGAGGATTAAGGATGCGGCAATTCGACTCAGAGCGAGTCTGCAGATGGAGGAGCAGGAGAGGGAACGTGCTATGAATGGAGGCAGTGCTCTCAGCATTGGGAGACTCCCAGATATTGCTGCGAGTCTGAGAGATGCAGCCAGTCCGCGCGTTGCTCAGGCTGTCGGTCCGCTGGCTGCGGCGTGGGGTAATTGGCGGAAGGGAAGGGGCGAGCAGAGCATTGATGAAAGGATTGCAGGCTCCGCTCGGAGTAGCTCGTCTACGCCGAGCAGGAACAGTCCGTCTACACAGTCTTTCCTTGGTGGGCTTTTAACACCTCCCGCCTCCTCTGCCAGACAAGGAACACCGCCTGCAAATCAGCCAACGGCTTTCGGCTCCACGGGCCAGAGATTCACGGCGTCGCAGTTGGCCAATAGGCCAAGAACGACCCCTAGACAACCGAACCCGCTGAGAGGCAGTCCGGCGAAGTCGAGGCAGAGTGGAGGCGGGGGTGTGGGTGGCAGTGGGAGGGGACCGAGCACGCCTCCCATGCTGAGGAAGGGGAGCTATGATGCGGATGCGAGGGCGGAGGACTTTAGTGATGCGGGGTTCTATGATGACGATGAGAGTTTGAGTGGTGTCGGGGAGTTTGGGGGCCGGCGATGACCTGATCCGTTATTCTTGCACGCCAAACACTTTCAGCTTATAATACCAAGATTGGTATGAGACTTATTGATGGAGTATTTCCTTTGTTCTGAACAGTGGGGAGAATGAGAAGGGAAGGGGGAAGCCAAGATTGATGGCAGGGAAGTGAGGATGAAAGGAAGAAGGGGGGAGAGGAGGGAGGATACATAATTTCTAGATTGATACCCCGATGACATACACGCATGCACAGACAGATCAGATTGCGAATACCCCATTTTCACACATTACTTTGTTTCCCTTTGTTTTCTTTGAAACAGCGCAGCGTAGCATAGCACAGCGGGGAAGGGATTACGAAGGTCGCTCGTTCGTTGTATATAGTCTATAGCTTTGGGGATGAAATGAATTGTTCTTTCCCACGTTTGGTCGCTTGAGTATGCTGATGATTCCTTGTGATTTGTGGCATCGGGTTAGTGCCTTCGATCCTTAACGCTCACTTTTTTCATTTCACTTGATCCCCTCTTGTCTCCTCATCTCTATGAAAGTGCAACTTGATATATCAGAGGTCGCTGCTTCACCGCTGATTTTCCCTGTCGGTGCAGAGCTCACTCACCCTCACCCAGAAATCGCCTGAGTTATTTGCATCGATGGAAAAGCGAGATTCCCTTTCCTTGGCCATAATATCCTGTGTTATCATATCTTCAGGGACGACCAGCAACACCTCAATTTTTTTTGCCAGAAAATGAACACCCAAAACACCAGATCTTGAATCCCACTTTATTTATTTCCCCCTCCTTTCCCACCAATCCCGTCCATCTCAGCGGCATATATGCCCGCCGACGCAGGGGTAATCCCATACCCGTTCGAATTGCCGTGCTGCTGATTCTGAACCAGTCCTCTACCTCCGCCTTCATTCGGAGCCTGGTACGCGTTATACTGATTCGTATACCCGATCCCCCCATTCCCACCCTGCTGCTGAATCGGCTTCATTGGATAACTCGCCTTCAAATCACCACCCAACTCCACCAGTGCTCTGTGACTTCTTTGCTTTTTGACAAAGATGAATATACCGACTACTACAACAGCGAGTAGAATCACGCCAAGAACAGCACCGAGTCCGATTTCCGCGCCGTTTGTGTTGGATTTAACGGGCGCGTGGGTGGAGGAGCTGGTTTGAGAAGATTGGGATGAGGAAACAGTTCCAGTGCCTGTGCCGGTTGGAGAGGAGGTTGTCCCTTTGGCTGTGGAACTCGAAGCGGCTGCATAGGGAGAAATGGCTTTTGCGACTTGGAAGCCTTGGTTGTTGTTGCAGCATGCGGTGTTCTTTGCTCCGCAGCACCAGGAGCCATCGGTGCATTGTGTTAAAAAGCTGGTATCGTCCGCAGAGCCGCCATCCTAGTATAATTAGTTCTACCAGAGGTTACTCTGGAGAAACCAGTGGCTTACAGATCCTCCAACACACACGTTCAAGCAATTTGGACTTTTCCACGTCGGGTCCGTACATAAGTCGCGTGCGTAGCCTCCTACGCTAGCTGGAGGTTGACACATGCCATTCGGGAGACAGGTGTCGAGGTTTGCCGCACTTTCCCCCAGGCCTACGAGAGCAGTGACGTTGAGCACGCAGCACATGGAGAAGACATTCTCTGTTGAGATACATGGCTGGTATGCTGCCGAGAGTGCAACGGCGATGCCATTTGGATAGTAACAATCTGATAATGCTGCTACGCTGGCAGCCGACGTGAGTAATAGCTGGAGGAGATATCGAGGCATTTTGGGACTCTTGGTGTGAAGAAAATGAACACTGAAGAAGATGTAAGGCTGTGGGAAGAAAATGCGGAAAGGAAAGGACGCCCCAGGTGTCCTCTAGGGGTCACGCGCCTCCGTTTGGTCGTGATACACGTCCACCAAATTTGTTAGCGAATCGAAAGCGAAAATCAACCGCCGATTAAACAACTAGAAGGAAGCGAACGACATCCATCATCTCCACCAAATACGCCTCAGTAGATCAGCCATCTTGTTTCAACAATCGCCCAGTTTCAAATATTGATGAACGCTGAGCTTCACATGTAGCTGGGGGTGGTGGATGTTTCTTAGACACCCCACCACTACCTCACAAGCGACATGTTCCCTCCAAAAGCAATGTTTGCAGCCAAACCATCCTGAATCGAAGTTACATTTCCTAGCAGAGCACATAAAAACCAGTGACCCAATTAATGTCCAAATGAGTTTTACTTTCAGCTTGTTGTCTATATTCTCTGGTCCCAGAGCGTACTTGGCAACCAGAAGGATATATATAGCAACGGTACAGCGGCTGCTAAGACGCTAGTGGCAAACTAATATATGATCGTGGGATACTATAATAACTTCTATAATAGTTCCAATTAAATTTTTTTGATTTGTCGAGTATAGCCTTATAGACTACGTATCGTTTGATATAAGTTTTAAAGGGAAGTTAATTTTTTGGAGTTCTGACAGGGGCAGTAAAAGTGGGCGGTTGAGTGGTGTGGGCGTTTGGCTGGCGAATCGCGCTAATTACTCGATCTCCCGCTTAAATGCACGGCCCGCTTGAATGCACGCCTTACTAGAAAACTAAAATATTTAATTATTAAATAACCGTAAATTATATTTATAAACGGTAAGCTATTATAGAATTACTAAGTACTCTATTTCTATACTTTATATTACTTTTATAACAATTTCATAATTTTATTAATAATATTTATACTTTTTTAAGAAATAAATAATTTATTAAAAAGATTAATAACTTTTATAATAATAATAAATCTTATAAAGCCTTTATATAATTTATTTTAAAATAATATATATTAAATTTCACAGCTCAAATATAGCTTTAAATGCCTTATAAAATAAGAAATATAATTTTAAAGTTTTGATTTTTTTAAAAATTAAGTTTTATTTTTAAATTTTTAAAATAATTAAAAGTAATTTATTTTAAAAGAAATTAATTAATTCAATTTCCTTAATACTATTTATAAAGAAGCTTAAGCCCTTAAAAGTCTAAAAAATATTTATTATATATATAAATTTGATTTTTAATATAAGTTTTTAATAATTATTATAATTATTTAAATTCTTATATATTAGGCTAATAGAAGATATATAATAATATAATTATAATTACTAGAACTAGAATCCCTATAGAATTAATAGAATTATCTAGAAATACATTAATAATTCCCATAAATAGTAGTAATACCAGGTATACTATTATTATAGGCTTTATTTAAGCTTTATAATACTATTCTAGGCCTTTATTTTTGGTTCAAATATTATATACTGCAAACTGAGTATAATTTATACTCGGTTATATAATACTCGCTAATATATATATTACTATTAACTACTAATAGACAAGTTGCCTAGTAAACTTATCGAGAAAACTTATTAATTCCGCTTCTTTCTTGTATTAAATTATATTTTATTTAAGGAAATTAGTATAACTAATTATAGAATAATTAAGGGAATTATAATATATTATCCTTAATATAAAGCCTTAATCTCCTTTATATTAAATAGCTAATACTTTATAGAACCAAGCTTCTTTTCTAGTAATTAGGTAATTAATAACTTATTCTTTAGAAAGACTTTATATAAATTCTCGATATAGATATATAAGATCCTCGAGTTCTTGATTTTTTTGACTTCTTTATATAATATCTCTGGAAATTAGAAAGATACGGACTATACTTTACTACTTGCTATATATACTACAAATATAAATACTAGTAAATAAAGAGAGAATTTGCAAGAATTAGATAAGATAGAGAATATATACCGAGATTCTCTATAAACTAATAAAACCGAGGATATATATTAAGGTTCTTTATAAGCTATAGGCAAATCACTCTCTAGAAAAAATATAGTAGCTATAATTACTAATATAGTTATTACTATATTCGGATAGTAATACGGAAATAAAGGAGGAAATACTACTTTACTACCTGTTTTCTTTTAAGACTATATAGACCTTATAGATATCCGGTAAAGAACTACTAATATTAGATATTTCGATCTAGATCTTACTAAGTTAGAAGAAAAGAGAGATTATATTACTATTAGAAATAATATTTACTAGAGAAATATATATCTTTTTATAGATATAATATAAGATAATATAACTAGTAAATAAGCTATAGTTATATATTAAAATCTTATTACTTGTCTTCGGGAAGTAGTATTTAAGTAGTATACTAGTAAGCTAGATAATTTATACCGAGCCGAACTTAAGTTCTCTTAAAATAGTATTAAATAGTAAATAAAGGCATTAATTTAATATTTTAAGGATCCTCTATTAACTACCTTAAGAAAATTATAATTAGAAATATATACTAAAAATAATATAAGAACTAGTAAGAATATATATTTCTATATAGTATTTATTATATAATATACTAAAGCCGCCGAGTTTAATAAGCTAATCTAGTAGCTATTATAAGCCTGAAATAACTTGAATTCGGAACTTAAAATATATATTAAGAGACTTACTAAAAATACTATATTTAGATAGTTTATAAATATAGTAATATTAAAGTAAGATTTATAATCCGAGATTTATTATATAAAGAATAATAGATTACAAGAATTAATAAGAATAGACTATTATCCGGCAGGTAATATATATTTCTCTTACCGGAATTAAAATTATAATTATAAACGGAATTATTAACTAGTTTAATTCTTTTATCTAAATATAAACTTTTACTTATTTTATTTCTTCTTAAATCTTAAATCTTAATCTTAATAGCTATAGCTATTAAATAGCTCCCAGAACTTTACTAATATATTATAAAAGAATAATTAGAAGGCTTTTTTATATTACTATTTATATTTATAGCTAATTATAGGGTTTATAAAAAATAAGAAAAATATAAAGAAATATATTTATTTTAGTATATTATTCTTAAAAAATAATTCTAACGGAAATTAGTATTATTATTATTTCTATTAATTTAATAATAGTAATATAATTAATAATAACTACTTTAATATCTCTAAAAAAAATATAGTATCTAATATAATAATAAGCTTTAAAAATATAGCTATATTTTCTCTGAGAAATTAGATTCTATTAGTAAACCAGAGAATAATATATATATAGTAATTCCTATAATCTTTATAATTAAGCCTATAACTATTTATAAGAAGTATAAATCTATATTTGAGTCTCGAAATAAACTTTTTAAATATATATACTCTAACTTATATTTAGTAAAAGTAAAGAGAATTTCTATTATAAGTAGTATTATTAAGTCTATTTAGCCCGGTCTTATAAATATTAAGGTTATTATAGTAACTTCTACCGAGACTTTATTATCTATTAGTATTACTAGATATAAATATATTACCTTAAGTATTAAGATTATACTAGAAAGTAAAGTATTTCAGATTTATATAAATACTAACTATTTATAACTATTAGTAGATTATAAATAGCTATTAAAAAACTCATTTATAAGAATTAATATAATAAAAGAAATAGTTATTAAAGAAATTACTTTAGTCTAATAGCTTCGAGGCTAAGCTATCTTTAATTTATATATTTATAGAAAAATTAATAATTATTTAGTTCTTAGTAAAGTTATAATTAATATATAAGTTATAAATAACCTTAATTCCTTACTTCTTTTAGGAAACGGCTTCCTTATTTTATATAAAGTATTAATTAATATACTAGATTATATTATTATTTTTAGTATAATTAATAGTTTTATAGTTCTTATTAAGATATATATCTAAGGTACCCGAGTTATTTATAAGGTTCTTATTAAGTAATAAACTATTATTTCTCTCGGAAATATAGTTTATATTAATATAACTTATAATATATTATTATTCGGATATAACTATATACTAGATATCTGTTTTATAAGTATATATAATATATTAATAAATTCTAGTAATTATATTACCTATATAAATATTATAAATAAGTTATAGATAATTTCATATTATATAAAACTTAATATAATTCGAGACTTTAAAGAAGAAAGTTATTATATAATTATATTTAATAAACTTAATAAGAAACTTAATAGAAAAGTATCTATTTCTTTAAGATCTATAAAGATTATAGGAATTATAAAGTTCTCCGAGATTTATAAGAGAGTTCTTAGTAATAAAATATGTATTTATATTAAGAACCTAACTCTTACTAGCCAAATCGAGAGTCTTATTATTAAATTCGAGTAGTATTAGAAAAATAGCAGGAACCCGATTAATATACTAGAGAATAAGTATATAGAGATTTCTTTTATTAAAGACTAGTAGAATAAGAAAATCAAGTATAGAATTTATCTAGTTAGAATTCGTAATTAATAGATTATTAATAAGGTATTTAATAGTCTTTATATATAAAATAAAATATATTTCCTATAAAATATTATTTCTTTTAGTTAGCCCGTATTTATTATCTAGAAAAACATTAATAAGAAACCTAAAGAATATCTAGTTATTAATTTAAAAGTTTTTAATAGCCTTAAAATCCCTAATAACTACTCTATACTATTATAATAAAATATTATTAATATATTTAGGGAAGCCAAGTATATCTCTATTATAAATATATTATTATTTTTCTATTAATTCTTTATTAAGGAAAAATATTAAAAGTATTTTACTATAATTTCTTACTAAAAATAAGAGACTTCTAAAGTAGCTCTTATAAGTTATTATAGTTCTCTAGTATATATTTAATATTTTATAGATTGCTTTTTAAAGAACTATAATTATTTCTACTATTATTTTATTAA